CACAGCTGCAGACTGTCTCTGAGACACGCCGTAGCATCTCACACCACTGTATGAGCCATATTAATTGCATTTAAGTGTTAGATGTACTTCTTCGAAAACATTGTCTGCAGGATGTGCTTATGTGTTATACTCGTGGACTGCATTATCCGAACTCGCGCCCGAGATGCAATGCACCAATAAACGTACGTGTACCGCACGATGAACACGGGCTTTGTTTCTGTCTTCGTTCTCTAATGCTTCGTTGCGTTCCTTAGATAAGCCGTTCAGGCGTGTTCGCATTTTGCGTTGGTAAGGCATGTATTTGGACTTCAAAATAATATGCATGCCACACAAACCGGAATAAACATTCATGTTGTTCAGACACTGGTGTGAAATATCATAAGATGTCCTGTAGACGTACTAAAGTAACACTCTCTTAAAATAGTGCACTTCCCACATTATTTCAAGTTTGAGGCTTGAAGATGCTTTCAAGTGGTTGCTCTTGTAAATAAATATGTTGAACAATACTCAGGCCATGCAAACGGGTTAATACAAGAGATGCGTTACTCTAAGAGAGCACATTTGCAGCTCATCCGCGCGGCATGCCGTAACACCTCGCACCAGTGTGCGAGCCATGTAAATTAAATTAAAGCGTCGAAGCTGCCACTTCAAAAACATTCTTGGCATGGTGCTCTCGTAACTAAAAATTGAAACACGCGCTATCTGGACTCGTGTCTGAGGTGCACTGCATCGAAAAACGTGTGTGCACTGTACCATAAATGTGAACTTCAGTTCGGTCTTCGGTTTCTGGCGCTTGGCTCATTTCCTTAAGGCAGCTGTTTGCATGTTTTCTCGGTAGGTCATGTATTTGGACGTTTGAGCGGTGTGCAGGCGCCACCAATTGGATAAATGCAAGAGGTGCACTCTTTAATTAAGGAGGCGTTATTACAATCCGTGCCTACAACATGCCGTAACATCTCACACCAGTGTGTGCCATTTGAATTGGATTCACGTGCTCGGCCCAGGGGCGGATCCAGGATTTCGTCAAGGGGGAGGGGGAGGGGGAGGGGCCACGCAACATTGTAGGGCCCCCTGGAGTTTGAGGCCCCCTCCGAAATACATTGTTGCTTTTCATATATATATATATATATATATATATATATATATATATATATATATATACGTGTGTATATGCATACATATGCATACATATTAACTTACTCATTTATTTCATAAATACGAAAGCCCATCTTACTCTGGACAGCCCTATGAAGCTATGCGTGCTATGCATGCGTACACATAGAGCTCACTCATTTCCTATAGACCATTTTCGATGCTGTGATTTTGAGGCTAACTGTTTTGGAACAACATGCAAAATAAACTTGAGTTTGCTGCTAACAACCATCAAAACTAAGCATAGCCTTGATTCCTAGCTTAGGTATTTACGGCTAGCCGGCTGGGAGATGTAATCAACTGATGGCTGATGACGAATGCATAATTTTTCCTTTCTTATAAAGGAGTGCAGCATATCCTAGCATTCAACGTATGTTAAGAACGTGATGCACTAGAAAAGTAAGTGTCACACACTCAATAGCCCATGGAAACGACATATACGACATCGGCGGCATGTAGAATTACGCTAGGCAATTGCGCGTAAAAATTCATCGGCGCATATTCTACTTCTACTCTGAGGTCAAGGCACCGAGGCCAGTAGGGACGGAACGTGAGTGATCATGGGCGCCGCAGGAGGCAAACAAAGTGGCTCCTGTCATCAAGTATGAGGTCCTCATAACAAGCAAAAAGAACCCAAGACCAACGTGGTGGGCCCCTAAACGAACGGTGGTACCTCGGCAGGCTGACATATAAAGCCCCAGCCATAGCACAAGACCCGCCAAGCGAAGGGAAATGATCTAAGACCATAAATTAATACCCCTGTGCGATCAAGGGTGCACGGATAGGTTAACAACACGAGCCTCGATAGAAGTGAAGAGTCCTCCACAAATGAGACCAAAGGGAGAGAGACCTCGATCAAAATAGAAGGCCCCTGGGCATCGAATGTCTCCATGCCTTACCTTATAAGAGCCCTAGCAACAGCACAAGACCCTCCAAGCAAGCGGAAAGGGCCCGAGACTTATATGAAGGGCCACTGAGCAACTGAGTGTACCCTGGCATCTGGGACCGCGGAAAGTGTACAGAGCCTTTTGGGCGATTGGGAAGAATCCGTGGAGGAAAACCTGATGGATCAACAGTGCTCAGGTATGGAGGCAGATAGCGTCCCAACAACACACTGGGCCGCACCAAAAAATGCAGAGAGCAAGGGCAACGTGGAATGCTTCTCGGCGATCAGATTGGCCCGGCAAGTTGACATATAGGGCCAGGTAACCAACCGCATAATGCCTCTAAACACCAAAGAGCACATAGAGCCCCATTTTCCCCAAGCAACACTTTCTCAATCAGCGAAGAATGAACTTCGTTTGCTTATGAACTCTTTGCTTTTGCAAACAATGGTTCTTGGTCGTCTGCAGACCCAAAGGCATCCAATTTTGTTGTAAGAAAACTGCGTCCGTCCGGCCGGTTATGGGCCCATTCGGAGCCTTTAGGTCCCTTTGTCATGGTCCATGGGACATCGTCCTGTGCCCCCCATCCTCTGCATCCGCCAACGGCCCGAGCAGCTGAATATATGGGGAATATATAAGAACATAGGGCCATCCATTCAAATAAGAAACATTCACGACGCAGTGTGTAGGGCTCTGAACAATCGAATGCGCCCGAGCAGGTTAACATGTAGAGCCCCCGTCAAGAGCGTAGGGCTCTCCATTCAAATAGGAGGTACCCGGGACCCAATGTAGAGGGCCTCCGAATGATCGAGTGTGTCTGAGCAGGTTGATAAATAAGGCTCCCAAAAAGAGCATAGGGCCCTCCATTCAAATAGGTAGTATTTGAAACTCAATGCAGAGGAACCCCGAATGATGCATTGTGTCAGAGCAGGTTAACAAAAAGGGCTCCCGACAAGAGCGTAGGGTCCTTCATTCGAATGGAAAGCACCGAAAACCCCATGTATGGGATGTAAATGGCCCTAGAATGATAAAATGTGCCCAAGCAGCTTATCAGAAGGGGCCCGACAAGAGCGTGGGGTCCTCCATTTAAATAAGAAGTACCCAAGACCCAGTGCGAAGGGCGAAAGACGGAACATACCCGAGCAGATTATCAGGTGGCCCAGACAGGAGTGTGGGGCCTTAAACTCAGACACGAAGACCCAATATATGGGGCCGCCGAACAATCCAGTGTGGCAGAAGCGGTAAACAGATGGGGACCCGATAAGTGCGTGGGGTCCTCCATTCAGTTAGGAAGTACCCAAGTCACAATGTGGAGGACCCCCGGATATTCGAGTGTGCCCGAGTAGGTTAACAGATGGGGCCCGGCAAGAGCGTAGGACCTTCGAAGGCCCGGTGCGGAGAGCCCCTGAAAGATGGAGTGTACCCAAACAGGTGATCAGATGACCCCGGTGGGAGCAGAGGGCCCTGCGTTCAAACGTGACGAGCCAATGTGCAGGGTCCCCGAACAATCCAGTGTGGCAGAGGAGACGAACAGAGGGGCCCCGCCATGTGCGTAGGGCCCCATTCAAATAGCACGTGCCCAAGGCCCAATGTAGAGGGCCCTCGAGCGATCGAATGTGCCCGAGCAGGTTATCAGATTGGCCTCCCCACAAGAGCGTAGACCCCCGATTCGGAAAAGAAATACCCAAGACCCAGTGTCGGGGTCCCCGAACTACTGCGTGTGCCCAAGCAGGCCATCATATGGGGCCCCGACAAGAGTGCAGGGAGCATATCGCAAGTGTCACGTGTTAACCGAGACCCACGTGAAGAGCCCTGAGCAACAGAGAATACCCCGGCAGGTATGGGATGGGATGCCGGCTATAGCTCCCAGGGCCTTTCTGGAGAATGGAAAGAATCCGTAGAAGGGCCCGTGATTGACAAGAATGCCCCGGAACGCTGACAGACAGGGCCCCAACAACAGTGCAGGGCCCTCCGAGCAAATGCAAGGAAATGAAGGGCAACGTGGAATGCTCCCCAACAACCGAAATGATCCTGCAAATGGGCATATAGGCCCCCCGGAAACAGCATGGGGTCCCCAGACAGTGCAGTGGGGATTAAAATTTCCAGTTAACAGCTCTTCCAATCATTCAATAATTTTTGACTTCTCATAGGCCATTCACTTTCGCGTACAGCTGTTTTCGGTCGCCTGGAAGTCCAGAGGTACCCAGTTTTGTTGCGTTTTGTGTAAAGAACTGCACCTGTTCGGCCGGCTATGGGCCCCTCGCAGCCAATAGGTTTTCGGTGGACCCGAACCCCCCCTCCCTCTGGATGCGCCCCTGGCTCGGCCTGTGGGTTCAGCAGGTACTCCCGCACGTTGTGCTTCTATCCACTAATGCGGATTTTATAATTCGGATTCTTGTCTGAGGTTCCCTACACCAATAAGCGTGTCATGAAATTTGACTTTGCCTCGGTCTGTGCTGTTATTTAAAATGTCACATATGAAAACTTGCATTGTTAAAGCGATAAGCACATCAAAACAAAATTGGAAGCATCCGTGTTGAAACTAGAATATCTTTGATTGGGAGCTTCGTATGTCGGTGATTTGGTATATGCGTTGCCGTTTTGGTACATCCTTAATGTTGATCCTCGGCCTGTACTCTAAAAAGTAAATTACTGCTTTCTTCCCGTAATCGTAAAAATATCGCATCGCAGTTATGTGAGAATGATAGGCAATCTGTCATGTCAGTATTGTGAGCATCAAAGCCCACAACGATTAATTTGCTTGCTGGATGGGTCTCCCGGTATGTGCCTCGTTTGGATTACATTATTTTAAATTGGAGCAATTCTGCTGACGCTAGCCGATTGTGCTCGCTGGGATGCTGTGCGCAAAATGCTCACGGTAGTGGTTTTTCTTCTAAAAAAGTGAACTGCTTGCGGAGGGCTCCAATTTGTGCCGCTGCACTTCGCTTTCAGCGCTTTGTCAGCAGAATGGGCCATGTTCTTTTCGTTGTGACATGTTAGCCCACCTTTGTTTCCCTTCTTGCTTTTTATCACAACAATTATCTTGTGCGTCGACGACCTGGTTCCCCCGCGGCGGACATCACCCTAAAATCATCAATCCTATCCACAGATAAACGTTACCATTCGCCGGTGACCAAGGTTGAAGAGATGCTGAGCCTCGCTTCTGAGGTTCTCCTGCATCATTGCCACCCAAAAAGCACAACATGCATACGGTATCTGAGCTCCGCCCAGATTGCCCACGCTCTGAGGCCATTTTATTTTGTGGTGCATCCAGATCTGTTCCACCGCCACCCTGAGCAAAAGGTGAGCTTAAGCACGAGTTATGCTATGTGTGTATAATCACAAAGTATTGCATTAGTGGCAGGTAGCAAATAACCTGATTTTAAGCTTGTTTAATGATTCAGGAGCACATTTGATCTTTTTCCAGCATTCTTTTAGTTGATATGCTGGCCATGCCAAACTGACAACCTTTTGGTGTTCTCAGAGTGTCAATGAAGGCTCTCTCCAGTTTTTGCAAGCTCACCTGGACAAGCTTCTGAACTCAAAGAGGGTGACTGAGAGCACTGTCACATTTTTTGTGCGTGACATTGATAGGAAATGTGAGAAAAGCCAAGGTAATTGCATTCCGGGATAATAGAAATGCTATAATACTTCATTTTGGAAGCCGTATTTTTCTGAGAAATTCTTGCAAGTAGAAATAGGTGTTCACTTATAACCAACATAATTTTGTGCTGACACTATTTTGTCATGATTTTGCTCATTAGTAAGAATTCATTGAATGCCCCTGTGACTGAAGAGGATACATATGCAATATGATATGCAGGAAGAATATGCAAGAGGACAAGAAGTGATGTGACAACATTTGTGTTGCATGCATGTTGCCAAGGAAGTTTTAAAAAAATATGACTCATCCATGTTGTCCTGAGCAGGCCATTTGCTCATCCGCACTTTCCTGTGGGAATTCATCTGAAAATCAGTTTCTTGAGGAACCGTGACTTCAGTTAGCACACTTACACCCCTAACAGCTGAGCCCTCTGAGATGGAAGGCCCCATCCCCTGAGCCCCTCCAGACAGAGTGCATGCCATGTGGCTGGTCTGCTGGATGAGTGATGGCTGGGTGCCGACAGCGGCGTCACAGGTGCGGATCGCGCTGCAGCCTGACCTCAAGCGGACTGTGCGCACTGTGCTGGAGACGTGCCACCTGCCCACTACCTACCTGGACAGCCTGCCACCAGCTGGGCCACGTCGCCGGCCGCCGCGGCGCGCCCACCCGCTGGATGACCTGTTCGCCGAGATGGCGGCCGAGCCGGCGCCGCCGCCGCGGCCCGAGACCACGTTGTTGTGAGTGGGGGATGGCCGGGATGGTGGACCTGCCTGGAGCTGACCGGCCGAGCGATTGGCCAGGTGCTGGAGTACAGAGTGGATGGCAGGGATTTTATGTTGATGATTGGTTGAGAACCCAGTGTTTTGAGCAGTGTTGATTAATGCAGTTCCAAATGGGCAAGAAAAGCATGAAATCTAAAGTTGAAGGCAGTCGTCAGTTGAAGTTGCAACATGCCGTCGGTTGTCATATGGCACTCCCTCAGCTTTGAGTTACATGCAAGCCAGGCCGGAATGTTTGTAGTGCGAACAATAATTGTATTCTAGTTTATGGAGTGATGTGAAGAACGAGGGTCACTTGATTCGCACTGTCTTCATCCCTTTGTTCACATTTCTCGTGGTTTCGTGCGATCCCACGTCTGCTCGCTGAACCCCTGACGCTCGCGCCCCCCCCCCCCCCCCCCCCCCCCTCCTGGCGTACGATTAGCCCGGTGACTGTCGGCAGCTCGTGGCTGGCGAGGACCGGCGCCGACACGCGGCGGCGCGTGGACGAGTCGGCGCGCACCCGCGCCGAGATCGGCCACCTGCGCGCCGCGCTCGTCTCGCGGCTGCAGCTGCGCGCGCTGGACTGGCGCTGCGGCTGGGGCGCCGCCCACTTCCGCGGCTGTCTGCGCAGCTTTGACACGCTTGTGAACCACCACCCGGACATCCGGGACCTGTTGAGAGGTGGGTGGTGGCATAGGAGAGGGTGATGGGTAGTGACGTGAGGGTGAGGGAATGAACTGGTCAGAGGTGCATCACCACCTGGAGGGCGGGACACCTGCTGAAAAATTGGCTCTGTATCGATGGATACTTTGGCCAGGTTTAGTATTATAGCTTGGTGTACCAAAGTATTGACTCTCCGCTTGCTGATCAATAGGTGGACATGACCTCAGCCGTGCTTTAAGACGGGGACATGCACAGCCGACCACCTGCGGCATGCGGGGTGCACGTCTCGCACCGTCCGGCGGCGGGCCGCCTCCCGGAGAGCGTCACCGGTGCCCCTGACGCCTGTGCCTCCTCCGCTGCCAGATAAGACAGTAGTGTTCGGCTCCGAGTCGGGCGTCAGCCTGGACGGCCACCTTATCCTCAACAGCGGCGAGGTCATCACCAACTGGATCAACGTCATCCGCCGCTGCGCCGACGACAAGCTCTACCTGCAGAAGATCCCTCACCTGCAGCGCGCGCTCTCCCGTCACCTGCGCGACATCCGGGTGGTGCACAGGTACGCCCGCTGACCGCCTCAGACAGCTGGCCTGTAGCCGACGTTTGTGTCTGTGTTGCAGAGATTCATTGTTTCATTTCGGTGTCGTGCGGCCTGCAACAGCCCTTTCGGCTTTCAGGTCTGTGCGGTCTTCGTAGGGACGGGAATTCGTGGATGATTTTTCGGAGCAATTCATTAATGGTAGATGTGTCTCCACGAAATTTTATCGTGTATGATTGTATCAGTGCATCTTCAAATGTGTGGTGACTGTAGAGCACACCTGTCACTAGCTGACTGACGGGCCCGCTGTCCTCCTGTCCCACCAGCCCACTAATAACCGCAGCTTTTGGCGTTTCGCTGTCTGATGTTCCTCTGCGCAACGCGGCCCCTTGGGCCTGTTGTATCACCGGTAATCCCGGCACGGGGCCCCGCCCGCCCATTTGGCTCCAAGTTCTGACAAGGGCTACTTCTGAGGTGCCTCCGCCGTGATCGGCCGTTGGCGGCGACACATGACCCTGCGTCACCTGGCCCTGGATCCTGCATCACCCGACTGCTGACCCTACGTCACCTGGTCTCCTGATCCTGCGTCACGCGGCTCCTGACCCTACATCGCTTGGCTCCTGACCCTGCGTCACCTAGCTTCTGGCCCTGCGTCACCTGGCTTCGGACCCTTCGTCACCTGGCTTCTGATCCAGCGTCACCTGTTCCCGCCAGAAAATTCCAGCCGATCACGATGGTGACGAGCTACGAGCAGCAGCTGCGGCGCATGGTGACCAGCATGGGCGACTTCTGGGGCCGGCACGGCTACCCGCGTGCCTGGCCGAACCGCCTCAGTCACCTGCAGCTGGTGGTCGAGTCGTGAGTGGCCGGCGCGGTTGGCCGGCGCCGGCACAGCGACTGACACAGAGAGCGAGCGAGGGTGACTGACCGCTGAGGCCCAGCCAGCACAGGCTGAGATTGAGCCCCTCGTGGCGTGTGATTCAACGAACCACAGTGCTCAGTATAATGGGACTCCGGACTTCTTTATCGTCTGGCCCGATCAGAAGTGCTAATGGCCTCTTTTCGACCTCGAGAGTTCCTGGTAGCCTCCTGGCTATTCTGCCCTGTCGACCATCGGGAGCGATTGAACCCAGATACGGAAAGTGGGAAATGATAAGGTTCTTATGGGCTTGTGTTCCATCATCAGTGTCGATTTAACGGGTATTAGGTAAGAGCTTAACCGTCAGTTGCCAGAATAGACACAGTGCCACGTACAAGAATCTAACGGTGTGGCTATTGCCTGTGATTGATCGAAATCGCGTGCCCGGACGGCTGTCGGCGGGTGGTCTGTAGGGTGCTGGGCTTCGTCATATGATCACGGACGCCCCTCGCGTGGCTAGCTCCTCTGCGGCATGCTGCGCAACAGGCACGCATCACGTGACTGAGGGCGGCACGGTGTGACGTAGAGGCTGCGCCTGTGTCGGCAGTGAGTCGGGGCCGCTGTTCCTGTCGCCCACCGGCCAGATCATCGCGCCTTCCTCGTGCCCGCCCTCCCTGCTGGTCAGTCTCGGGGACGGCCGTGGCCGTCCGCGGAGGACACAGCTGTGGGGTGGACGGCCTTCTGAGCGCTGATCAGTGCGGGGTCGGGGATGTCGGTGGACTCTCTTTTTCATTGCTGGTGTGTGATTCTCCGAGTCTTGTCTGACGGATGGTGAATTAGGTTACGATGGGTGCCTCGAGCTGTTGATAATTACCGTCTATGCGACTATCTTACCGTTGAACTTTTGCTACGTTTTTCTGTTACTGGGAAGCCCAATACTTTTGCAGACAAGATGAAAGCCAACGTAACGTGATATGCTTGATGCACTACTTTTTAGCGCGCTTTGTGGTCAATCTCCGTGCCGGTCGTTGCCCGCACTTCCGCTTCGGAGTTCCCGGAAGCTGAAGCCTATTTCGCTCTTCCAATTCTCGCAACGTACTGAGCATTCGTTAGGTTTTAGTATGGGCCACTATTTGTTTTCTTACGGTGGGCGAATGCAAGGCCTCTTTTCCTTCGACGGATCTAGAGTCACTTCCGAGGGGGAGGGGCAATTACTTCTGACTAAAGACCAGGCAAGAATTACGTTAAACGGCTTAAAGTGTCCGGTGCAAGGCAAGGAAGGGGGTATTTCTAGGTTACGTTACGCTGATCTGGTTCCCTTTTTGTCCACACAAATGATAACAGGTAAAGAAAAGCACAGCAACAGCTATATTTATCTCACCACGACACAACGCGCATTCCGTACGATTGAGCGACAAGTGAGCGTCCTCACCGGGTGCAACAATTTCTGTGTAAGGTGTCCGTGGCAGCGGTGGCCTTGGCTCAGCCGACTTGTCGGCGACCTGTGCGATGGATGGATGCCGGGCCGCTTCATCGCAGCAGCTGGGAGAGCAGTCCCGGGCTCCGCCGCCCGGCACGACCTCGTAGTGCTGTGTGGTGTTATTTAGTTCTGGCAAGTCCTGACTAGAAAACCAGGACACCAATTGGAAAAACCTACAAATTTTGCCGAATCATGGCAGGAAAAATCCGTTTTAAATGAAATGATCTAATTCTGCGCTGCGCAAAGACTCGAAGAGGAGAGCGAGCGAGTCAGTACAACAGTCACCGAGGAGAAAATAGAGATTGCATGGAAGCATGTTAGCGTTGGTATAATTGATGAGCGGTTGTCTTGATGGTTGATATTTTCTTTAGCCGATTGACTGGTGGCAGCGTTGGGATATGTCGCACACCAAGTATCCCAGTTTGTCTGATTCGTCTCGAGTGCTCACCTGGGCTTTGGCGCCTGCTCCAGGTTCGCTACATCACTGACTGCATGGTGGAGGCGGCCGAGAAACTGGACGAGTACGCGCGGTAAGTGCCGTCGGAATGACTGTGAGGCTGACAAGTCGTGGATGAGGGGGGGGGGAGGGGAGGGAGGGGGGCGGATGTGAACTGGGATTGTGAATGCACGACACGTTTGTGCAACGCCTATTGGGAGCCAGTTACGTATTCATTGTGACTCTGTTGCCTCGTGAAGCTAACTAAGCAAGCTGAGATAGCATCTACCCACTGCATGCTCTGATAGTTTCAACCGACAGACACTCCTCTCAGCTCCTTTTCAACCTCCCCGCCCTCTGCGGCTGACCATCAAGCATTGCCCGTGGTCGCCATCGCCTGCGTTTGTTGTCACCGCCCCCATTCGCTCCATCATGCTCTCGAGTCGCACCAGCGTGCCGCTTGGCAATGCCCTGGGACCCGTCCCACCGGTCCGCACAGCGACTCACCCACTGGGCCGCTGTCCCCCGCAGCCTGTCGCGCGAGGAGACGCGCGTGACGGCCGAGTGCGCGGCGGCGCTGGGCCTGCGCCGGCTGGACAAGCAGGACAACATCACACCGGCGCTGATGCTGGCGTGCTGCCGCCGCCTGCTGGCGCACCGGCACCGGCTGGCGCCGCACGTGCGCGACTGGCACCTGACGGTGGCGCAGTACTACGCCGTGGACAGCGACGGCGCCTGCTGCCTGCCCTGGGACTGGAAGGACTGACGGATCGGTGGTGCCTGCCGGCCCGGGGGGACAGTGAGGCGCCTCTCGCGGGGGGTGACCGAGAGAAGAGGGACCGGTGGGTGGGGTGTGCGTGAGAGAGGCCGGGTCATCTCTGGACCGGCCTGTCGCTGTGGGGCGGATGCTCCGGCGTGAGCCACGACCCGCGGGACTGACCAGTCGCTGGTGCCGCGGGACTGACCAGTCGCGGGAGGACTGGACTGCAGGGACTGGGAGATGTCGCGTGCCGAATGGAGTGGGGTGGAATGCGCCTCAGCCTCCCTAGCTGCTCACTGGGACTAATCACACAAACTTGCCGGGCGTGTGCGGACGGAGAGATGCTGGGCGCTCTGGCAGACCATCCACGAGACGAAGTGCGTGGCGTGGCAGTGGGAACTCAGCCCCCATGTGGGTCAAAAACATGATAGACGCGTGTCATGCCCCGGCCCCAGTTTCATACGAACGGACCAAGTCCTTTCACTTTCTTGGCACGCACTGGCAGCGCTCTGGGCTGGCGTCCGAGCTCCGAACTAATCGTCCCGGATGTGTCCGTACGGCGGTGCTGCTGTCGTCAGGCCGACCCCGGCCAGGGCCAGGCACCGGCCTCTGGGAGGGGACCGAGCGCGGCGGCGGACGCTCTGGTAACGGGTGTAGGGACTGGAGCGGCCCCCGTCACGACATAGGTGTTATGGCCTCTGAGCCTCTGACGGCCAGGGTAACTCAGGGATGGAGCGTGGGAGAGCATGCCACTTCCGCATGCTCCCGCATTACGGTTGGTGTGATCGGGTGCGCACTGGGTATGCACGCGGTTGTGCCGAGTGATTTGCATTGGCTGACTGAGATGCTGGATACAGTACCCTTTGGGCTTGTCACAATCCAGTGGTGATGTAATCGCAACCAAGTGGCAAGCATGACTTTCCAAATGGTCAGTTATCGGCGGTGTTTTGATCGTGCACGGCGCTTAGTCATGGAAGCGGCGCCTCGCGAGTGGTTTGTAAAACTGTCTGTGGCTCAATATTGCTGCTTCTGACAAGAAAGTCGTCACAGAAAATGGTCTTCATTATCCATTCGCAGCTCGTTGTACGTCTGAAGGAGTTTAAGAACCGTTCCATTGTCCCTGTATAGGCAAATGAGACAGAACGTGCCCGTGTTTCTTCCCATGTCTCCTGTCTCAACAGGTTCATGCCATATCATGCCACTGGAATGTCCAGATTTTCCCTGCTCACGTTTGCTGTGTGGATAGGTGAAGGCGGTCGTCGTAGCGTGGCGTTCGTAATCGAAAACACTTACGTTTGTGGCTTCTTAATTTTCAGGAGCAAAACTTGACATCAAGTACCCGACTGAAGTTTTATGCGTGAACAATCACAACACGCTTGCTGGAGCGGTCTACCAATGGTGCCGTCATTGTATTGGTCCTACACTGGTGTGTGCGTCAGGCAGTCGCATGGCACACACGGTAGCGGAAGCATTTGGCGGAACGGACTGTCCCTTGCAGGTTCTGGCCAGTTTTGGTGTATGCAATCACTTTTGGGCCGTCGTTTGCAAGCGCGCGCCGGCCGCTGTCGCACTGGACCAGACGCCAACCACAGCGAAGGGGCAATTTTTCACCTCACTGGCTCAGGAAATGCACGTGTCAGCTAACTGTTTGGGCCAATGACACTAGCTGGGACTGGCCCGATCGTGGGTGATTCTGATGTGGAGTCACAGTATTCTGCCGTGCAAATGTAAAACTGTTTGGGCCAGTGACACTAGCTGGGACTGGCCCGATCGTGGGTGATTCTGATGTGGAGTCACAATATTCTGCCGTGCAAATGTAAAACTGTTTGGGCCAGTGACACTAGCTGGGACTGGCCCGATCGTGGGTGATTCTGATGTGGAGTCACAGTATTCTGCCGTGCAAATGTAAAACTGTTTTGGCCAGTGACACTAGCTGGGACTGGCCCGATCGTGGATGATTCTGATGTGGAGTCACAATATTCTGCCGTGCAAATGTAAAACTACGTATGCCTCGTTTTCTCGCAAACTGAAAATGTTAAGGTTTCTGTTCAGTGCGATAACTCACGTCGCAGGTCTCGCATCGATTCAAAAATGATACCATCGGAATCTCCTGTGCATACCGCATTGAATGGAGCTTTTCTCTTATAGCACTGCGCAGCACATTTTCTACAGTTCACAAACGTTTTTTTACCAGGGCGAAATTTGTCCAACCAAATTTGTTTATGCAAAGGTAAAAACACGTGTGTCACTCGTGAGCATGGTCAAAGCACGTTTGTCGCGTTTTGCTGAGCCGAGGACCGTAGAGAAAAACCCGTAGGTCACTAGCGGATGACATACGTGTTTTTGCCGCCAATAGATACACACTGTGTATCCCTATGCAAGCACCTTGTCATGCAGAGCGAACCATTCATAGTGTGGCCCTCGCTGCGCGTTCCTCACCAGTTTTGCATGACTCGCCGTGTATGACACGTCAGTTTTCACATACGAAACACCAGTTTGCACGACTCAAAACCATGTATTTCATTCGAAACATATTGTGAACTTCTTTTATGAGAACATGCAAACAGAACAATGTGGACGGCGAAACTTGCGTGGCGGCATCTGCCGCGGCGCACGCTACCGGACACTGACTGGAGAATGACCACAGCCCAGTTACCTCACAACGCATTAAGTAAAGACCATTGCCTGAACTGCCTCTGAACATACGGACGTACATGAGCATCATGACATGCCAGTTGAGCATCGCAGGGCCAACTACCTTCGCTTTTTTCACTGCGCTGTGCGCCTCTTGCGACCTTGTGGCGACTTGGTTGCGTGCTTCCGCTTGCTAGACGTTGGTGCTCGTTTGGGCTGGCCTGCCAGGTCTTCCCAGAACCTTGTCTTGTAGGCAGGCACATGCGGAGCGATATGGCGCAGCGCTTTGGACACCTTCCCAGGCGCACCAGTCATTTTCGATGCCGGAATGAACTCTGGTTGCTTCGTTGGGTCGAACGTCGTCATTGTTAAGTCATGCGCTCTGTACGACACTTGTTTGACGTTTACCTGTGTGAACACGAGGTCAGGACCCCGTCTGACCTGGATGAGTCAAGTCTAGCCGCTGCAAATTTGTAAAAGCAAAAAGCAAATTTGTATAGCACACGTTTTTCTCAAAATCATTTATGAAATAATTTCACAAAAAACGTCGAGCAGTATAAGTGAGAGAACCATCAGATGCAGCTTGTTTTGGGCAACCAAACGATATCAAAAACCTTTTTAGTCGAAAAATGACATACGCGGCTTTACCTTTGCACGGCAGCATTGTCAACTGGGTAACGAAGACTGCACCGCGACAGAGCATTGATAAGTGTGGGCGTGGTAAACGGAAATTAAAGCTAATTATTTGTCACCTTAGTCGAAAAAGTCACCTGAGGTTAGTACCTCTGACGTAATTGGCAAGTTTGATCGCTGAGACTGCTTCTTTGCGTTATTCGCACCAACATGGTGAGCCGTGGCGTTAGTGCCTTAGTCAGCTGGGCGTCGTTTAATACGTAATCGGAAGAACCCTTTCCCACATCCTGCGCATTGTGTTCTCCGGGGTCGCCGTCTCGTGCTTGCCCGTCCGTTGGCCGTGTTCTTATGCATCGACCATGAGTATTTAACAGATGTTTGTCACGCTAACTTGCCCCATATATCGATGGGTCAACTAACGGTGCCATGACGTCGATGTTTTCTTCCACGCGGCTGTTGATCGCCAGCGCTGTGAGTTCGCCGAGCATGCCGAGCTTGTGAGTGTACAGCTGCCTGCCTGTAGTCGTTTGACGCCTCTGAAGTCCCGTCATGCACGTGACGCCGCACCAGATAGTTTTATTAGCGGCTATTTTGAGATAGATAATATCTGTCACCCGACCATGTAGCGACAGTTTCCCCACGCGGGCGTAATAAACGGCTGTACGCATGAAGTGGCGTCTTGCTGTCGCCATAGGGCTTTACGGCGCACCCATCTGCTGAGGCTTTATGCCATCGCCTACCTCTCATCCTGGCAGGAAACGCAGGCACCGCGGGGAATCGAGCCCCGCATCTCTGGTTTGCCAGACGCACAGCGGTTATTACAGACGCGCTGGCGTCTTGCTGATCAGCTGCCTGAGTCGCATTGGACAGCTGCGAACAGTCTGTCTATCGCCAGTCGGACAAGTCCTGCGCGACACCAGCAATCAAACGGCAGCACCGCCGACGCTCAGCCGAGGGCTGCGACCGATGATAATTGCCTGCTTCTGTTAGATGGCTCGGCAACCCGCAGTCACCGGCCTGTGAGGAAAACAGGAGAGACAAAGTCTAATGCTCTTAGAAATTCCCGGCACACGTGATTCTGGTGTTCGAGAATGTCTTGTGCTAGTCATATGCATACCTAGATGAATCTGGAATGCAATGCAAGCGGCTTTGTAGAACTTCGGTACGACCGTAAACCAACCATGCTTAGTCGTAAATCAGCCGCAGTTATTTGAAGCTGAAATCCTGACCGCAGCAAGTCACGCGAATATCGACCGTACTTATCTCTGATGAGATCAAGTGAGGCACCAAAACTTTATTTACTGATCACACAGCATTGAGAAATCTAGAACCAACAGCTTGGAACAGGGAACAATCAGCAATGTGGGTTGCACAATGCACATCATCAGACACGGGCGACTGTGATTTAAGATGTCCATCTCGCGCCAACCCATTCCAATGAAGTGACCACATGACAGAGAGCGTGCCGCCAGGACGTACTCCTGCCTCATGCGTTCACGTTAGCGACGCGTTCTCACCCGCACACTTCAGCGTACAAGCTATACGTTACAGCATCCTGCGAGACAGAAACCATGACGCCATGAAGTTTATGCATTTCCAGGAAGCCCTAAGCACAGGTTGCACTGAAGCTTTTACGAGGAGACGACCAGCTGCAAAAACGGACACGCACAGCTTTCCAATGACAACCGAAAACAAACTAAGTACCCGGCCATCCAGCGCAACCAAGCACGACACCAACCGGATAACTCCCTCAGACCATTCCTCACGACGTGCGTCAGCGCCGTGGCTCGGCGTTTGACGCCACAAATCGGCGCCCTCAGGCAGCGCCGGCCGGCACGCCGCGTCAGTCGCTGTCGCTGTTCTCGTCGGCGGCGGTGGCCGTCCGAGTGGTGTTGTAGTGCTCGCCCAGGCCGTACATGTGCCGGTGATAGGTGATGAGCAGCGGCTCGGCCGGCCGGCCGGCGCCCAGCACCACCGGCGGCCCCTCCGCCTGCACCACCTCGATGCAGCGATTCAGTGCCGCCGACAGCGCCGCCACCTGGCCGCCGATGGAGACACGGCGTCAGCGGCGGACGTGGGGTGTGGAAACGGACACGGAGGCTGCTCGTCAGACGGTGAAGACACGGCGTCAGCGGCGGACGTGGGGTGTGGAAACAGACACGGAGGCTGCTCGTCAGATGGTGGAGACACGGCGTCAGCGGCGGACGTAGGGTGTGGAAACGGACACGGAGGCTGCTCGTCAGACGGTGGAGACACGGCGCCAGCGGCGGACGTGGGGTGTGGAAACAGACACGGAGGCTGCTCGTCAGATGGTGGAGACACGGCGTCAGCGGCGGACGTGGGGTGTGGAAACGGACACGGAGGCTGCGCGTCAGACGGTACTGTGGCGCGGTGGTAGCCCTCCCACGTTCTCCCCTGGTCAGACCACTCGAATCAGGCGAACTGACGTCACCGCTCGAGGCAGTGCCGCCTCCCCAGAGGGCCGCGCCTCACCTCAGTCTGCCCGCCCCAGGCCGGTGTCTCGGCCACCAGCTGGCAGTAGCGCTCGTAGCCCTCGTCCGAGTACATGTCGCCTGTGGCCGGGTCGGTCAGGAACGGCCGGTACTCGTCCTCGTTGCTGCGCAGCTCGTCCGCGGCGCGCCGCCGCAGCGTCGAGATGGACGCGTCACCGCACGAGCCGCCCAGCTGGTGCAGCACCGCCGCGTACAGGCTGGCGGCGGCGGTCGCGGTCAAGCACAGAAAGGTCGAGATCAGGGCGACGAAGAGTGAAGGCCAAAGGGGGACCAACGTTGATGAGGGAGTCGTTGACGGTGAGAACACGGATGAGCGAGATGGCTTGTCGACGCTGAGACAGCGCCACGAACGGAGAGTAGATACAGCTGAGCGGAGAAAGATCAGTCGTGACCGGGTCCAAGGTGAAGGTAAGAAGCCAGGGCCGGGAGAGTCCTCTTTGGAGTGGGAAATGATATATGGGGTAATGCTCGCTCTCTTCGCCGTTGTCCTGGTCATGGACAATCGCCAACAGCGCAATAGCGAGGGCGAGTCAGCGATTGCCTTGATACCGAATACACCACCTTCCTATACGGAAACGACGTACCACTTTGTCAGAAACGACGCATTGCACAGCGGCGTGCCGGGCGTGACGTCATCACCCGGTCACCAGCCACGTCACACACCAGCCCAGCTTCAGCCTTCCCCGGATAGTCACGCCCAGCGTCCCAACTCCCCACTTCTCATCTCCATAGCAACACACCAGCTCCCCACTCTCATCTCCCCACCATCTCACTCTCCCTTTCATAGCGCCCTCACTCTACCCAGTACCTCCACCCCAGCTTCCCACTTTCCTTGCCCAGCCAAGCCCGACCCCTCACCAGTCGCCGTCGGACGGCACGGGCTGGATGGCGCGTCCGCGCGCGCGCAGCCGGTGTCGTATGGCGGCCGTCTCCAGGTGGCGCGGCCCCTCCCGGTTGAGCAGCTCCTGTTCGGCGATTCGGTCGTCGCGCTGCCGCTGCTGCTCGGCCTTCTTGTCGCGCCGCCGCTGCGCCTTGGTGACGCGCGGCTCGCGCACAGTCAGCTGCTCCACCTCGGCGGCCACCGTCTCCACCTCGGCAGGTGGCGGCTGCGGAGGGGAGTCAGCGTCAGAGGTCTCCACTATCGTGTGCACGCACGTCCACGATATTAGTAGAGAGGACTGGGGCGTGGCCATAGGTCATTCGTGTTGTGGTGAAGAAGAGGGTGGCGAGCTAACGCTGGGGCCTTAACCACGCAAAGCAACACATGCGTATTGTGAAAAAGCACTCACGCACATCAAGTTGACGAAAGACATGAAGCGTTAGTCGCACGTTTTAAACTTGCTTTCCTTCCTTGAGACCTTACGAAAACGCTTACCTTGTCCACATTAAGCGAGGCTTTCAAAGTACTGAGTTCTTCATCATGTCGCTTCTGAAGTTCTGCCTCCAGTTTCTCGATCTGCTCGTTGAGCTCCTTCTTTTTCTTCTTATCCGTCTTTGAGATGGATTTCTTCATAGACAGCGTTTTGCCTGAGAAATAATGCATGCAGCGCAATCGTACACACAACACCGCGTAATAATTCATGGCTTCATGGCGACATTGCTAAAGCACTGTCTTGGCCAGACACCATTACGAATGGCAACCTATCTTTGAAGTGGATTTCTTCATAAAGTTTCGCCTGGGAATATTGCATGCCACGTAACCGTACACACAACGATTGATCCAACACCGAACAGATCACCCACTCGAGCTACGGCGGCCGCCCCGCTCTGCGTACCTTGGAGCTCCTTCTTTTCCTGTTTGTGTTTGGCAGTGAGCGCTGACAGCTGGTCTTCTGCGTCCTCAACGTCCCCCATTGTAACGGGTGTGCACGGTCTTATCAGCGAGAGTGACCTAGAAAACGAACTTCTTGTTTAGGTTACCGAAAAACACCTGAAGCAGGATTATACATTCGTGAGGATCGCTGCGAGCTGGGGACGTGATGGCTCTAACATATATATATATATATATATATATATATATATATATATATAAAGTTTAAAACATCAATATGCGTTCGAAATATATTCCTGTCAGACATTCAGAGCAAGAGACCTGTCTGCGAAGGCATGTCTGAACATACTCCAAGCTCTCTTTCCACATGGCCCTAAACAAATCAAGCTGTGAACTGATCATAGCGGCATTATCCTTCTGAACTTCCAACTGTAGCCTCCACAATGAATTCCTCAAACGTTGCCGACATGCTCTTCCACCAACATCCATGACGGTTGAACAGAGCAGCAGGGGCCTTGCACACAAACAGCGGCCTTGCGATTTGACTGGACCCAGCAGCGTCAAACCAATGAGCCACACGAAATCACATTGCCCGGCCACGTCAAGTCCACACGAAAGTCATCAGAACGCAGGCCCCGGGTTCCGCGGTGGTGTTCCCACCAGCGAACATTCAGGCACCATCGCTCACCTCACTTTCCCAGCCACAATGTAGCGGACACGGGTTTAAAAATGGTAAAAATCGACCCCGTCAGGGGCCAGAGCTGCACTGAAGCTCCTCCACTGGTGTGAGCCGGAGCGCAACGCGTGCACAGCGGTCGTGACCCGGTCTCACTGACGGACGACGGCTCCGCATCGCCCCCCCCCCCCCCCCATCCCTGATGCGCTAGTCTCTGCCACGTCCCCAGCCGGGAGGTGTCGGGTACACGCGCAGTCGGAGGGTCAACTCGGTGCGGAAGGCGTCGCGCATCCGCTGCTCGGCGTCGCGTGCGATGGCGCGAATTCGGCGCAGCACCAGTCGGCTGTGGCGCACTTTGGCGCATTGCACACGCACTTCGACGGCCAGGGCGTCCGCTAGGCCGCACTCCCACTGCGTCACCTGGCAGACGAGGCCGTACGGCACCTCGTCGCGCAGGTGCTCCAGCAGGCTGGCGCGCACGGCGTCGGCTGCCAGCTGGCGCGGCCGCCGGTCGGTGACGACGTCAGCGCCGAAGCGCCAGCCGCCGGGTCGCGCCGCCGCCAGCAGGTATTCGCTGAGCGCCGCCACGCCGGCGCCCTCCAGCGCCGCCGTCATGAACACGCGCCGGAAGAGGGGCCAGGCGCGCCAGCGCTGGCTCAGCACGTCCAGCTGCGCCTCCGAGAGCCGGTCGGCCTGGCCGGCCAGCACCAGGCGGCGATGCTCGGCGTCCGGCGGCGGCGGCGGCCCGCTACGGTCCAGGAAGCCAGCCGTGAACTGTACGCCCTCGGCGGCGAACTGCTCAAGCCGGTGCGGCTCGGGCTCCGGCTCGGGCGGCGCGGCGCGGCCCAGCAGTTGCTCGGCGTCCATCCAGCGCGGCGCCGGACCCTGCGCACGCCGCTCCAGCTGCACGCCATCGACGCAGCCCTCGGTGAGCTGGCTCGTGAGCTCGAGCAGGCGCCGCTTGCGTGCCAGCGTGTCCACCTTCGTGAGCACGAGCACAGCCGGTCGGCGCGGATCGGCGAAAAGCAGTCGCTGCACCTTGGGACTGAGGCCGGCGCGGTTGCGCGGGTCCGAAACGTCGTGGAGCACACAGACGAGGCCGGCGCGCCGCAGCGCGGCCGCCGGCTCGCTGGGTAGCGACGGGTCGAGTCGGTGCCGGCGCCGCTCGGCCTCGGTCACCAGACCGGGCGTGTCCTCCAGCACGAGCTGCGTGTCTCCGACGGTGAGCGACGCGCGGCTGCATGTCTGCGTCGTGTGCACCTTGCTCGAGACGGAGCAGACCGGCCAACTGAGCAGCCGGTTCACGAGCGTGCTCTTGCCGCTGTTGGGGATGCCCAGCATGGCGACGGCCAGCCGGCGCGCCTCCGGCTGCCGCTGCGGCCGCCGCAGTTGGGCGACACACTCCTCCTCGCTGGTCGGCACGCGCCGTCGCGCCGGGCCCCTCGCCTCCACCTGGCGCACCGCTCGCACCGACGCCGCCGCCGAGACTGACAGCCAGACCTGGCCGGCGCTCCAGCGGTGCCTCACGGGCCGCGTCAGGCAGATCGGGACCACTGCAGTCATCCTGCTGCAAGCGAGGAGGTGGGCCCAAGTAGCTTCATGGGCACATGCCGGATGAACACCTAAAATCGCCCCAGTGGACTGTTTCAGTGGTGGTTGGTCTTCCTTGCTGATGTGAGCCCAAGCTCATATACTGAGCCATATACAAGACATAATAAGTGCTGGACATCTTCAAAACATCTCCATTGTGCACTAGGTGACAGTTTTAAACAATAATGAAATCCACAGTACACTAACACAAAAATCTACAGCGCACTGGCTGCAATGGTGACTGCAAAAGTTGATGTGGTACTTGAACACACATAGCCATGGATAACCTCAACAAAAAATCCTGGGAAGGAGATGACAGAAAATCATTTTAATAAAATGATGATCATGCAAGATCTTTGCCTACCTCACATGACAATAACTTGTGCACCTATTCAAAGCAGTCTGCTTTTACAATTTAGCCAGTGCATAGATAGATAGCCTCTTTTTATTCAAGTTACACATTCTGGTAGGCATGCTGTATTCTGATAATGCTTAACATATTCATCTGAGATGGAAAGTGCATATTCTTGCTTTGCAAGTGCAGATGGTACAGCATTTTCTTACATCTGTCATATGCAAACTAGACAATTCAACCATCAAACAACATAAGGATTATTTACTCCCACCAGCACACTGGTGGGAGTAACCACTGTAGTAACTGCTGGTCACAGGTGGTAGAATAAATTAGAAAAAAACAGGACCAATGCCAAATGCAAGATGGAGATCACATATAACAGGTTGTGGCCATTTCAATAAAATGAGCCGACATTTCAATCCAAAGGCCAATGCATTTCAGGGTTAAGTTGCCAGGTTTAGCAGAACACACAAGGCCAATGTTTACCATCCAGACATAAATCTAACATCATACCTTGGCACCAGGTACATTACAAAACCAGAACCTTTGGCTACATGGTGCCCATTGCCCAGCAACTAAAAACAATTGCTGATATTACTTTGCAGCATGCTTCAGAGCCATGCCCATTAAGTCTGTTGGATCCACCAGTGCTGTGCAACCACACACCAGCATTTTTAGGCTCTCTTCATCCTTATGTTATAATTGGAACAGATGGGAGGAGTCAAACTTTTAAAAAGGTGAGGTTATGCCCACAGTGTTGCATGGGGATATCCAACATATAACAGCTTCTCAGGATAACAGTTTCCCAAGCCCCTCAGCCGTGTACAATTCACCAGTAATTCATTCTGCAGCTTAGACGACAGTGTTTCAAGGAGGATTTACCATTTAGTGCTGGTATTCAGCATTAATTCAAATACACCACGTCCAGCAGTCATGTTCATTGGGAAGCAGGATACGAAAGAGGCACGTCACAGAAGCGTCAGATACCAAATGCACATAAATGTACCCACCGGTGAGGCGGAAGACGCGAAGCAGCCTAAGTCTTCACTGGTGAGTATATCCTACAGCCTGAAGGAATATACGACTCGACGAGGTTAACTATGCGGTCACATCAACAGCCACCTACAGGCGAGAACCGGAGATCCAGGCCCACGCGTGAGCCAAAATTTGTTACAAAAACTTATGGTCCCTACCGCGGCGTTTTTGTACCCGTCATTGCCTGCGGTGAAAATGGCAAGAAGTATTTTATTAATGATCTCCTTTTCCTTAGATTACTGCACCAATATAGATTTATTTGCATGATTTTGCAATGAAAAATCATTAAAGATATCATGAGAAATGTTGCAGGAATTTTATATTAGTGTTGATTGGTACATGAGGCAAACAAATTAGAAATTCCGTCGAGATCTCGAGTACCATGGCAACAGCTTGTGTACAGGCTGGCGGGATGTAAATACGTTTACCGCATAAGCCGGGGTTCGGTGGAGAGGCCGACAGTCGCGGAATTACCAGCCAGGAAGTGGTAAGAAGCCGAAAAATGTCAATTTGTACTCCATTTCAGGTTTTAAGCGCTCAAGAGAAACAAAGACATGTTTTTGAGAAGCGTAAAGCTGAGAGCGTGTGTTCCGCCCCTGCCTTTCACGACCCGATAGCTTCTGTTCGAAATCGGAACGCTTTATAAGTCACTAGACGAGAGCGGGTACAAAACTGTATTGTTTAGGTCAACATATTCCTCTTGTTCTAACGTTTCCAGTGACCTTTAATAAGTGACCTCTAATTCCGGGTCAACGACAAAATTTTGTGGCGAAATTAATGTGCCTCAAATGCTCGGCACGGTTCGTCCGCTCTCTGACATCACCGTACCCTCAGCGCAATCACTGCCATCGGCCGCAGGTCATTCTAAAGTGACTGTTTAAAGTGACTGGGACCCACGTCACCAGGGATAGGTGAACCCGATGCCGGAAGGCACGTGTTCTAACCAACTGATCCATCGGTTTGCCGATTGTTTGTGTCGTTGCTAAGAGTCATGGCTCATGAATGTGATGGACTAAAGATTCAGCACTGAAAGCTGCCCCCCCCCCCCTCCCCATGGGTCCAAATGAATGTGGGTCTACGGGTGCAGTCGGCGGGAAATTGATTGCGAGTATGCCGGCTGTAAATTCTCCCATGCTTCTCAGCGAACTCCACCTCTGACGATGACGTGTCCGCTCCTGAACTCACAGCACATGTGGTCACGAATCGACTCACACGCACGAAGTGCCAGGGTCTTGTACGTCACATTTTGCTTCCTCTAAACTTGGTTTCAACTTACAGTGTTGCGATGCGGGGTTCGAAACGGCGGACTCCGGCTCCGCCAACTGGTGGCAGCTCCCCCTGCGTCAAGAAACCCCACTACAACGCTCCGTTGAAGCATAAGAGGGAGGAGTATGCCCCACACAGTAACCTGCCTAAGGATGTCAGTGAAGAGGTGAGTAGGTAATGACAATGGCAAGAGGAAGAACAATTCGGAGGTAAGCATCTGATCACATTGGCGTCACCAACGGTGGAACGCATCGGCACCGGGCCTGGCTGGGAGTTTGTATGCAAACTAGGTGTGGAGAACGTCGTTGCTTATTGTACAATTCGTACGTATATGGCCCACACCTATGATGGAAAACATCTTGGATTGACAGCAAAACTGATTATACGATTTACGTGATTTTGTTGGTAGGTGCACAGTAGCTTAGATTAATTGAATGTTTATGATTATATTAGACTGCGCGGGTTTTACACGTGGCACAGCCATTTCGCTCTGGTGCGACTTTTCTGGAGTTGACTCGGCCTCACTGGATGCGTTCAGTCAATCAGACCAGCGTGCGGCCAGCTCGCCTCGTGTCGGCGCTGTCGCCGCCGCTCACCGCCGCCACCTCCACCGCCGCCGCAGACGAGCCAGTTCGTGCCGGAGCTTCCGCTGCACCAGCAGCGGCCACCTTGGCTGCAGGACCCGCCCGTGTTCACACCGTTCGCGCGGTACGGCGCCGACCGCAGCCAGCCGCCGGCCACCGAGCCTCTGTTCCGGCTGCCGACGGGCCGGCGGCGGGGCGCCGTGCCGCCGGAGGTGGCCCAGCGCTGCGCCATCAAGCGCCACAAGTTCGCCCGACCCGCCAAAAAGGTGAGCCAGAGGCGGGAAGTGGCACGAACGAGAGAAGCCGCCTAGTTGCGGTTATCAGGGGCAGCGCCTCGTTTTGCCAGCCAATTAGGTCAGCCGGTGTCCAGGCTAAGCGCACGCGAGGACTTGATGGTGCGAGGGGCACCTCACACAAAACTCTACAGCAAAGTACTCCACAATCTGCTGAAGGCGCTGACGGATCGGCGGTGATGTGGTACAACTGAACGCATGGTAGGCTTAGTTGTGTATGGGAGAACCGTCCTTTTGTATTATTATCTCGGTGCTTTAATCCAACAGCTTTACACCACGTAAGCAAGCCCCGTACTGCGGTCCTGCGCTGGGCATGTGTGAGGATCAGGTTACCCGATGCGCCTCCGGCTGCTGTCGATATATTACTCGCCTCCCGAGTGTCGGGAGTCGCCAGTGAACGCGCGCCTTGCTTCCTGCCGCCGATACCCGGCCTGGCCGTCAGGTTGCCACCCAGTCGTACCTGCAGTGTCGTCAGGAGCGGGAGAGCTTCCGCTGCCGGCTGGTGGCGCTGCTGACCTCCAACGACGATGACTTGCCGAGCGGTGAGGCTTTTGGTGGCGGTGGCTGGTGCCGCTCGGTGAGGGGCTTGTCCTTTGTGGCTGGTCTTATCTCGGGACTGAGACTTCCCAGCGAAACGCTGGCGAAGGCTGACAGGCACCGCAGGATGCTGGGGTGGTGTTTCGCAGGTATGTCCCTGCTGCGACGACGATCTTCCTTGACCAGCTGCGAAAAGCTGCTACACGTCTTAAAAACTATCGCACCTCATGGTCGGCCGCGTCAGCGTCACCTGCAGTCCTCCCGCGCCGGACGGGTGGTGTAAACCCGCGTCAGTGCCACCTGCAGTCCTCCCGCGCCGGGCGGGTGGTGTAAACCCACGTCAGTGCCACCTGCAGTCCTCCCGCGCCGGGCGGGTGGTGTTAACCCGCGTCAGTGCCACCTGCAGTCCTCCCGCGCCGGACGGGTGGTGTAAATCCATGTCAGTGCCACCTGCAGTCCTCCCGCGCCGGGCGGGTGATGTAAACCCACGTCAGTGCCACCTGCAGTCCTCCCGCGCCTGACGGGCGATGTAAACCCACGTCAGTGCCACCTGCAGTCCTCCCACGCCGGACGGGTGGTGTAAACCCACGTCAGTGCCACCTGCAGTCCCCCCGCGCCGGGCGGGTGATGTAAACCCACGTCAGTGCCACCTGCAGTCCTCCCGCGCCGGACGGGTGGTGTAAACCCGCGTCAGTGCCACCGTCGCAGCGCGCGGTGACCTCCGCTGCCACCCCCGGACAGTGTCTGAGGAGGACGGGCCGGACCCATCAGCCCAGGAGCGGGCGCTGCTGCGCTACTACTACTACATCCACAACGGCATCGAGACGGGACAGGTGGCGCCCATGGCCGACCAGTGGCTCGAGCACATGGACCGCATGCTGGCCGCCAAGCTGAGGGTACGTGCCGCGGATCACGCTGTAATGCTTGAACTTAAAAATGGAAGCAGCTGCTTTTGGACTTACTTGGGATCAGCACTCTAATAATCTCACTGATCTCGATCGAGGTTTCTGAGAGCTCAGATCACCTCACGACTCCCTCCAGCTTATATCATGTTCATTGCGTGGAAAGAAGGCCACATTTTGGGGGGGATTTGAGGGCGCTTCTACCACGTAGGCTATATGTGTCGAAATTAATCAACGAATGAATGACTAAATCAGTGGCCGAAAGGTATATGAGTGGTTGCTTTGCACAGGTAACGTTGTACAGTAGCATGGCGCTGGTGTGCTCCAGAGCCGCGCGGAGCTCCTGCAGGACCTGCACGTGGAGCTCACCGAGGAGTACTTGTTCGGCGTCAAGAAGGCGGTGGTCGACTACATCCTGACGGAAAAACCCGGACAGGTGGGAGCTGGTGGACGTTCGAAAGCTTGGCTGATGCTAGTCTATGCACTGGACGCGATGTTGGCCTATGAACGTCTTACAGTAATCCTTCCGATCTCTGCATGATTTTGTAGAAGAACTGGGACCACACATTCACACTTCATCGTGTGGAGCACGCTCGTCAAAACCATCCGGTCACTGGCAGACCAAGACGCTCGAGCTGAGCTCTGCGCTAGTCTTACTGTATCCAGCATGCCGCCAAGTCGGTGCTGTGCCGCCGCCACCAGGACTACGCCGAGCCGCCGCCGACGCTGCCGCACCGTCTGGAGCTGTGCGTCACCCCGTCACCCTGGCGGCACAGCTTCTTCCACCACCGGCGGCTCATCTTCTACAACCTCTGGTCCATCAACACCTGCCTGCTGCAGATCCTCGACCTTTGGTACAAGCAGTTCAGGTCAGCAGCCGCCCTGCCAGCCAACGGATGCTGGAAGGGGATTGTAAAAGGAAGCTCTCTTAAAGGGGCTATGGTGTTTCCCTTCAGAAAGGGAATGTAGCGGCATGCATCTTTTTAAAGCTGAAAATAAGGTAAAAGTGTTATTGGAACTACGCCGCTGCTCACTTCACCACACTCACCGCTAGCCAATGCTCATGAAATCCGTTATCTTGACACGTCTAGGTGTTGGAACTTATTCCGTTTTCAATATCTGCGAAAAATGAATCTATTGATTATGCAACATTGCATCTTGGTAATACGATGCTTCCCTTTTAGAGTTAGTTCGAGCCCTTTCATTGAATTCTCGGATCAACGCCCACACAATGAACTATTTGTTACGTAAACGCTGACCCACCATCTGATCGTAAAATTCCGGATCGACGGTAACTTTCTGCGTCAAAAGCTGAAGGTGCCGCAATGCGCTGCACGAGCCATCCTGGCTTTTGACGTCACCTGGCCCTTAGAGCAGCCGCTGCCACTGGCCGCGGACAATCTCAGTCCGAGGCTTAGAGTGACTGGACCCCCTGCCGGCCATGTCTCCGCATAGCCAGGCTTCGGCCGCGGGCATTCTCAGTCCGGGGCTTAGAGTGACTGGACCCCCTGCCGGCCATGTCTCCGCATAGCCAGGCTTCAGTTTGCGAGCAAGCTGGCGCCTCGGGCCCGCCCAACAGTGGAGCGCTGCGGGACAGCCTGCCTGGAGCGTTGTCCACAGGCGTCACCTTCACATCTGAGTGGCGGGCATTGGTAATGCGTGGAACGACTGAAGCTTTTTGGCTGCATTACGAAAACCGGATGACGAGGCGTTATCGCGTGCGTGTCTCTGACTTTGCTGTGTTTATGACTGTGTTTCTGGCGTTGATGTATACCTGCCTTTGAGTGCATCCGCCAGTGACTCCGACCCTGCGGTGTATGTGCATGGGCTTCTGGCGCGCTGCCAGCCCACCTGTTCGCACAAGGTCGCCTGTGCCTGCAGGGTTCCCGTGCCTTGACCCTCAACCCCGACGTCGTCGCATGTCACACCATGTCTCTGACGCTGCCATGTGTCTGCTTCCGTCTCTGACTGTGCCGTATGACCGCCCATGCACCTGACGCAGCCGTGCACCCGCCCGCGTCCGTAACGTTGCCTTCTGTCCGCGTGCGTCTCTGGGGGCGCCGCGTGCCTGGCCGTGTCTGTGACGTGTCGTGGAGGACCGTGTCTCTCATGTTGCCGTGTGTCCGCCTGTGTCTGTGACACCACCTGCGTCTGTGAGGGCGCCGCGTGCCTGGCTGTGTCTGTGACGTGTCGTGGACGACCGTGTCTCTCATGTTGCCGTGTGTCCGCCTGTGTCTGTGACACCACCTGCGTCTGTGAGGGCGCCGCGTGCCTGGCTGTGTCTGTGACGTGTCGTGGAGGACTGTGTCTCTCATGTTGTCGTGTGTCCGCCTGTGTCTGTGACACCACCGAGTATCCACCTGCGTCTCTTGACCTCCCCGTGTATGCAGCCACGTCCCTGGGATTGCCGTGCGTCTTCCCACGTCTCTGACATTGCCGTGCGTCTTCCCACGTCTCTGACATTGCCGTGCGTCTTCCCACGTCTCTGACATTGCCGTGCGTCTTCCCACGTCTCTGACATTGCCGTGCGTCTTCCCACGTCTCTGACGTTGCCGTGCGTCTTCCCACGTCCCTGACATTGCCGTGCGTCTTCCCACGTCCCTGGCATTGCCGTGCGTCTTCCCACGTCCCGGACATTGCCGCGCGTCTTCCCACGTCTCTGACATTGCCGCGCGTCTTCCCACGTCTCTGACATTGCCGTGCGTCTTCCCACGTCCGTGCCGGCGCTGCGCACCTGACCGCGGCCACGCCGGCCTCCGCCGCCAGCGGGCTGCGCCTGCTGGACTCTTCCGAGCTGTACGGCCGTGAGGAGGCGCTCGAACTGACCAAGTTTAGCCAGCTGCTGGACGAACACATCGAGCGCGCCTCGGACGCGCTGGAGCATGACTGGTTCCCGGCCGTCCACCACATCCTGATGCAGGTCAGCATCTGGGCGCCGGGTCCACCACATCCTGATGCAGGTCAGCATCTGGGCGCTGGGTCCACCACATCCTGATGCAGGTTAGCATCTGGGCGCCGGGTCCACTTTGTCCTGATGCGGGTCAGCATCTGGGCTCCGGGTCCACCACATCCTGATGCAGGTCAGAGTCTGGGTGATGAGTCCACCATATCCTGATGTGGGTCAGCATCTTGGCGCCGGGCGGCCTCCCGTCCTACCGGCTCCTGACGCTGTCCGACCCGCCCACTGACGCTCACCGGGTGTGGGTCCCGAGTGTCCATATTTGCCTATTCACCGACCATTCTCTTCACGCGGCTTACAGGTGGGTGCAACCTTTTACGAATGATAACCGTGAATGCCGCCTGTGACTTCTACCTCCAGCGTCATTGTGTGGACTCGAAGTGATCAATACCCGGCTGGAATGACTGTGCTGTCTTAGCCAAGCATCTAACGTTACACATGCTGTTCACGATCCCCTCTACGAACAGATGCCACGTTCGTCATGACCGCTGCTGACAGGGTGCCAAGCGGAACACCATCCCGTCACTGGCCCAGCCGGAGAAGCTGGAGACGTTCTTCAACGCCGTGGCCACGCTGATGTCGATGAACGTGCAGAACATGCTGTTGCACACCATCCGCGAGTACACGGACATGCTTTGTAGCAGCAATGTGAGTGCTAGCTATCTCTGGGTGGGTAGTGGACGCAGCTTTATACGTGGCGTTTTACAGCAGTTTCGCGTCGCTGCATGAACGGCTAGGGGCTGGCTCGGGCTGTGAAGGCCCCGCGGAGGGTCGTGGGGTGGCTGGTCTGTGCTTTACCGCGTCAGTTGGACCTGTCAGATCTGTGGTGCCATTGTCTGCAGGTTACGGCTGGCTCGGGCTGTGAAGGCCCCGCGGAGGGTCGTGGGGTGGCTGGTCTGTGCTTTACCGCGTCAGTTGGACCTGTCAGATCTGTGGTGCCATTGTCTGCAGGTTACGGCTGGCTCGGGCTGTGGAGGCCCCGCGGAGGGTCGTGGGGTGGCTGGTCTGTGCTTTACCGCGTCAGTTGGACCTGTCAGGTCCGTGGTGCCATTGTCTGCAGGTTACGGCTGGCACTTCTTTTTGACGGATCAGCGTGCTGCCAGTGTGTGCACCGTTCATGTCAAACAGTGCCTAATTTTTGTATGAAATGATAGCGAGGCTGTAGCCTAGTTGCAGTTGAAATTTGACGCTGACGTCACACGTTTTCATTATTCCATATGTTTCCAGTACCAATTTTCACCTCTCCCACTTTGATTTACGAAATGCGATACAATGTTCTGAAGTCGGCGATATGGGAGCTCTTGTAACGCTTACAAGATACCATACAGGTAAAAGGGAGTGTTCCACATTTGGATGGGTTTTTGAACCGAAATGGCCATCTTAAAGATCATTCGGTGCAGCTCACAGCCTTACTCGTCTTAAGACCTAAGCTTTTCTAGCTTCTGAGATATACGTCCGCGAAGACGAGCAGACTGTTTCGGGGAGACTATTTCAAGGTCCCGGCATCCATGACGCCATAGTAACGTCATTCAAATGCTGCCATTCCGTTTACCACGCGGAAATCAAGGCTCAGAAAAATATAATGGTCGAGTCGTTCGTACCTGGAGTTCGCGAGCATTATGTCTCGATACAAGATCGTCAATTTTCTCTCAACCAGTGTTCGTTAAGATACGATGAGGTAATCAAACAGTGTTGTGTTGAGGTGCGCATTTGCTAAATAGAGAAATTGTGTTGTCAAGAGTAGTATTCTCCACTTAAAAGTATACTTATGGTTATAAGTAAGCTTATTTCATCATATCCGATGCTTGCTTTGATATCTTCAGATGTGAAGCATTCCCTTTAAGTTGACTGATAATTATCAACTGCCGGCATTAACCACCATTACATAATGATGAAGGTTCACAAACTGGGGTAAAGTGCAAAGGGAGACGGTTTATAAGTATATGCACATTCAGGCTGAAGCCAAGCCACGTTTTAACGCTATTGTGCACTTTCATTCAAGACAACATTCTAAATAAATACCAATCATGTATCTTTTTTGGAAAACCAAAAAGACTAGACACACTTCCTTTAACGACCGTGTCTCGAAAAACATCTTCCTGCTGTATCGTAGAAAAAACGCACGCGTTAACCGCATCCCGCCACTGAGATGCAACGGCGCAGGCCCTTGAGAGAGTCCGAAGCCACACTGACTGAGAAACCCCGTGATTGCAGTACAGTGAAATGTTGTAAATGTCAGCTGTGCGGGAGCAGAGAACTACATCGATGTCGAACAGTAGTCGGGCTTGTGAACTCCCTTTCAATCCTGCCGTGAAGAAGTGGGCCGCTTAATGCCATCAGCGCCGTATACCCATGGCCCAGAGCTTCCGCCTGGCTCTCGCCGACACCCACCACCCGCGCCGTGCCGTTCGGACGCCTCTCGCTCCGCCGCAGAACTGCGGCTTTGTGCTGCACCTGGTGCGCTCGGACGGCGAGCTGCGCTTCGAGCCGACCGTGGCCGAGTTCGAGGAGCAGCTGCTCGGCGTGTACGAGCGCATCATCGGCTCCGTGCAGACGCTGAAGCGGGCGGAGACGCGCGTGTTCCTCGACTGGCCCGGCCGCGCCCAGTACCTGAAGGTCGGTGGCGTCGTCCCGGGGCGCGCGCGTCCGGCCTGGTGCCTGGCTCCCACTGCATGCGGGCCCGGCTCTGGCGGCTGGGATAGGCTCGGTCTTGGTTTGTGTCGGGGACTGGGAAGTCGTGCGTGCGGGGTGTAGTAGGCTCGGCTTCCCATGTCGAGTTGGGATGGACGGTGGAGTCAGATCATAGCGCGAAATATACGATGAGGAGGAATGTGCAAGGCAGGGAACGCCAATTTGTAATCTGCCAATTATTTTGGGGCTGTGTGTTAAGCTGACGCTGTGCTAAGCTTTAGCTTTGCCATTCTTGGTACCCCAATTTTGAGAGAACTGAGAAACATTTTTTTGTGAATTGCCTGCAACCGTGTCAGTATTTGTTTGGTTTTACACATATCGTGGGATATCTGATCAGGAGACAGAGCAACGTCAAATGCAGGACAAACCTCTTCCTGTTACGGTTCCTGCTGCGGGGATTGCGTAGACGGCTTACGGCTGAGGCCAGACGGCCAAAACGCTCTAACCGTTGGTTTGCCGGAGATGGTAGAGTTGGGGGTGGGGGATGGGGGGGGGGGGAGGGGAAGGAATTCATGCTACTCTCCCACTGCTTTTGCCTGTTTGTTAAGGCAAACACACACGAGCGACATGGCGGCACCTTTTCCGTCGCGAGCCCGTATGCCCACCAGTTCCAAGCATGCACATATATGTCCGACCCTCTACGAAAGAAGCTACAGGAAGGTCTAACATCATAAGAACAAATGGCGTCACACAGTCGAGCAGCTCTATCGATAGTTTACTGTCGAAAATTCGAAGGGCTCGTGATCGCTGTTTCAGTCGTTAGTCCCACCAGAGACATTGGACGAGTCTGAGCGCCCTTCATGACTGGCTCGTTGCAGCCGGTGGTGCTGCCGGAGATAGTGGAGGAGCTGCAGGAGCGCGTCAGGGCCATGGTCGCAGAGCAGTCGGTCGGCCCACAGCAACACTCGCTCTGGTAGGACCTCTGCTCAGTCACGTCGCACCTGCGGCAACGTTTTGGAAGGTCAAACAGCCTATTTGATGGAAATATGGGCCAAACTGTGCCAACTGGGTAGATTGCTTGAGCTTTACTGATGTCGTTATTACGTTTTTGTACTCGGCTCTCGTGATTCAGCAAAGCGGACGCTCGTAGGACCTCGATAAAGGTGGAATGATCGAAGGTGGTCGCCAGAAGAGAAGTACCCCTTCCTTTCAGGGTCATTTCGCGCCACAGTGCATGCAAGGTTACGGAGGCCAGAATCAGTAGTTCTGCGAGGTGCCTGAACATTTGGCGGGCATCAGTGTAACATGTGATCTGTACATGAGTCTGGCTCTATCGCCGATCGGTCTCGGCCGCCCGCCGGTGCGACCCGTGCAAGCCGGCCGTCCTTCGTGGCGTCCGATGTGACACAGTGGTCTGTACCCGGCATACGCAGGTACGAGCGATACTAGTACCTGATCAGCGGACAGGCCACGGCCGGGGTGGACGAGGACCCGTGCGAGCCGGCCGTCCTCCGTGGCGCCTGATGTGACACAGTGGTCTGTGCCTCGCGTGCGCAGGTACGAGCGATACCAGTACCTGATCAGCGGACAGGCCGCGGCCGACGTGGACGAGTTTCTGGGCGGCGAGCACGAGTTCGAGGAGTACGAGGAGCAGGTGGTCAGGTTCCACGAGCTCAGCTACGAGATCGACTGCGAGTCGGCCAAGGTGCGACGGCCGTCTCGGCCGGGCGAGAAGCTGTTGAAGTGAAAGGGCGGGAGCGTTTGGCCGCGGACGTGATGCACCCGTAGACTCCTCGGAAGAGCCGCGCCTCCCGTGGACCAGCATCGAAGGCACGCCTTGTTGTCCATGGATCGTGCGTCGAGGCCAGTGTGCTCGCGTTATGCTGCTTGAGCCCCTGACGCTATGTATGATATATCGCAGAGTTAGGCTAGAAACTATACGTTTGCATGTCTGGCAAGAATAAACACTTTAACAACGGCTGCACCGCAGTCCCTGCTGCCATTGCCCGTCACCGGGCCGTGGGGGAAGGGTTTGGGGGCGCCGAACGTGCCGTGACCGGGCAGTGGGGGAGGGGTGAGAGCGTGCCAGCGTGCCATGACCGGGCAGTGGGGGGAGGCGTGAGAGAACGTGCCAACGTGCCGTGACCGGGCATTGGGGGATGGGGGGGGGGGGGGGGGTGATAGAGCGCTCCAGCGTGGCGCAACCGGGCAGCGGGGAGGTGTGGGGCGAGCGTCAACGTGCCGTGACCGGGCGGTGGGGGAGGGGTGAGGACGAGCACCAGCATGCCGTGGCTGGGCAGTGGGGAGGGGTGAGAGAGCGCGCCAGCGTGGCGTGACGGGACGGTGGGGCAAGGTTGAGGGCGAGCGCCAGCGTGCTGTGACCGGGCATTAGGGGAGGGGTGAGGGCGGGCGCCAACGTGCCGTGACCAGACGGTGTGGGGGGGGGGGGGTGGACTTGGTGAGGGCGAGCGCCAGCGTGCCGTGACCGGACGGTGGGGGAGGTGTGGGGACGAGCGCCAGCGTACCGTCACCGGTCTGGTCGGCAGGTGATCCGGCTGGGCTCTTTCGAGGTCCGCTGTGACACGCTCACCGAGGACCTGGTGGGCCTGACAGCCGGCCTCCGCGACAAGATACTGCAGAACATGCTGGCCAACCACAACGCCAGCAACAAGGCGTGAGTGGCGTCGGTGGCGCGACCGTGGCCGCCACCGCCGCCGCCGTCGCCGCTGCGGCGGTCACGAACGCTTCTCACATGAGCTGTGGCGCTGCTGTTGGTCACACTCGGCCCAGGCATGCCGTAAAGTGTCCGTTTGTAAAGTTATGAGCGTATTTCACGCTTCTTGCAATATATATGTGAGTGGCTATTTCAGACCGTGAAGTTGAGTGAGCCCTACTATAAATGATCAATGCGCTTAGTTCATATGAGGAAAAAATGCAATACAACTGTCGTCTGGCCGGCTACACACCAGCAGCCAGCAACATGTCCTGTCCCGCGAACGAGGGCGGCCCGTATAGAGTAACAGAGCAGCCGCCTGGCGCTGCAGCCTGTCGGAGGAGTACGAGCAGATCACCGAGAAGGCGCTGACAGTGCCGCCCAACACGGCCGCTCTGATGGAGCTGAAGGCATACGTCGAGCAGACCGAGGCCGAGCGGGTGCCGCAGATGGAAGACAAGCTGCGGACTGTGAGTCCTCGTCCGCTCCGCCGTCACCGTCGCCGGCGGAGCGGCGCCGTACGGGATCAGCTCTTCGGCGTGCGGGGCCGGGTCACGGGGCATTCGAACTGTTAAGTGGTGGGATCATGTTTTCTTGATCGCGAGCTGCCTATTGTGAAGCCAAAGTCCCGTCTGTCAAGCGATCGCGTCGTCATGGTGTGAAGGCTATTGGAATTGGCTGTCTGCGCAGATCTCGTGATTAGTGACACAACTATATCACTTATTGTCAAGACAGGGCCGTGGATCCCGCTAAAAAAGCTTGGCGCCAGTCAATATTACTTGCGGTGCCCACCATCCATCGTGCATGTGCTCGTCCAGTCCTGGCAACGCCTGGTGCGTTCACTCAGAAGGCGACATAAGAACAAAAAGGTGGTACGCGGGCGCACCCCTGGTCAGGCTTCCTCATATTAACGGCTTCAGTCTCTTTAAAGTTTCCACGTTGATGTAACCCAGCTTTGGTACACCCGGTGACGGTGGCGCGCGGTGGGCGGCAGATCTTCTCGCACCTACTCTTCCTGTCGGACTACTCTGAGTTCTCGTCGGCTGACCTGCGCCACAACACGGAAACGTTCCTCTGGCACCAGCGCATCCCGGCCGTGTTCGAGGAGAGCCGCGCCATCTATGGCCAGAAGCGCGCGGAGTTTGAGGAGGCGCTCAAGGCGAGGCGACGGGCGGCGCCGGCGCCGTCGGCCACGGTCGCCGTCCGGTGCTGCGGTTATGGGGAGGGGGCGGGGGGGGGGGGGGGGCTAGTGACGACCACTGTCGAAACGGGTGCAGTGGGGCCTGTTAGTGGCTAGTGGCTGGTGGCGGCTGACCTGGCGCCTGCCCTTCAAGTGCAAGGCGTCGAGAGTGTACTGCAGATAACTGCTCACACTTCTTGACCGTTGCAGTACATTCATTGCATTCAAAACCCGTAAGTTTAGTTTAGTTCATATGCATTCCGAATATGTTGATATGGCTTAAAAACTAAAGTTTATTTGAGTTCAGATGTATTCGAAACGTGATAATACGACCTCAACGTGTCCACAGGAACGTCTTAGTACACGTTAGGAGTGTATTCGTTCGTCGCAGTGTCATGACAGCAATTTGTCGTCAGTATCCTTGGGCCTCAGTACAGATCGACTGTCGCATTCTGAGCCCCCTCGGCCGCATGCCGACCGAAGCACGCGTCTGTCTGAGTGGCTGTGAGGCTCGTTGTATTGCCTGCCGCACTTCTCCATTAGTGGGCGCAGCCATACTGCTGACGGCCCCGGCTTCCGCTGACGCTCAGGTGCGACGGGAGCGATTCATTGAGGAGCTGGAGACGTACAACAAGCAGGTGGACGAACTGAAGGAGCTCGGCGAAATTGAGGACCTGCCCAAGTACCTGAAGAAGAGTCAGAATCTGCAGGAGAAACTGCAGGTGGCACTGGACAAGACAGACGCCATCAATGATGAAGAGGCGGCCTTCGAGTGGGAGTTGACGTCCTACCCGCGCCGGCGCGAGGTGAGAACCCGATATGGGAGCTGACATCTTACCCGCGCCGGCACGAGGTGAGAACCCGATATGGAAGCTGACATCTTACCCGCGCCGGCGCGAGGTGAGAACCCGATATGTGAGCTGACATCTTACCCGCGCCGGCGCAAGGTGAGAACCCGATATGGGAGCTGACATCTTACCCGCGCCGGCGCGAGGTGAGAACCCGATATGGGAGTTGACATCTTACCCGCGCCGGCGCGAGGTGAGAACCCGACATGGGAGCTGACATCTTACCCGCGCCGGCGCGAGGTGAGAACCCGACATGGGAGCTGACATCTTACCTGCGCCGACGGGACGTGAGAACCCGATATGGGAGCTGACATCTTACCCGCGCCGGCGCGAGGTCAGAATCCGATGCGGCATCCAAGTCTCTCAGAGCAGCGTTTGGCAGGGGTTGTCGGGAATGCTCTTTCCAAGAAACTGACCAGGCCTGGTACAATACTATTGCTGGCGGGGCGGGAGCACCTAACTCGGTACCCGCATCGGACGGTGGTTAGAGACGGACCTCGTACCCGCACCGGATGGAGGTAAGAGACGGACCCAGCACCCGCACCGGACGGACGTTAGGGACGGACCCAGCACCCCCGCCGGACGGAGGTAAGAGACGGACCTAGCACCCGCACCACAAGGAGGTAAGAGACGGACCCAGCACCCGCACCGCACGGAGGTAAGAGACGGACCCAGCACCCGCACCGGACGGACGTTAGGGACGGACCCAGCACCCCCACCGGACGGAGGTAAGAGACGGACCCAGCACCCCCACCGGACGGACGTTAGGGACGGACCCAGCACCCCCACCGGACGGAGGTAAGAGATGGACCCAGCACCCCCACCGGACGGACGTTAGGGACGGACCCAGCACCCCCACCGGACGGAGGTAAGAGACGGACCTAACGCCCGCACCAGACGGAGGTCAGGGACGGACCTTGCGTCGGCGCCGGTGGATGGCGTGAGTCAGACACAGAAGTGACAACGGTGGGAGATGGGCGCCTCCCAATGTCTGCTGGCAAGAGATTGGGAGTTTTGGGTCATCCAAGCGGGGACGATCATGACTGCGGTGACCAGCTACTGTGGATGACAAGCTAGAGGCAGCTGACGTCGTGCTGAAAACGATAATTTGGAACATGTGGTGCCGGCATTATTGATGGTGCCCCTCTCCCATCCTCTTATATATGCGTCATTTTTTAACGTCATGATGTTTAATTCGAAGTGTTCTCCTCATCTAACCATAGCACACTGCTGTGAATGCGATCTTTTCAGGTATCGGACAAGCTGAGTCCCTACCTTCGTCTGTACGAGAACGGCGTGGAATTCAGCACAAAGTACGAGTCATGGATGAATTCGCCGGTAAGCTCCAGAGCGTGTGAATGTTGCAGTTATTTTTGCTCACATGAGAATAACGTATGAGAAAGACCAAGAGGCTGATCATTCCAACCTTGTGACGAACGCCTTTCAATGGATGTCAGCCACGCGCAGTACCAAAGCCGACCGTGCTGCGCCGACCAGCTCTGCCGTTGCTCATCTGACCAGCCTCGCCGCTGCCGCCAGCTGGGCACGCACGATCCCGAGGACATCGAACAGGACACGGACACATACTTCCGAAGCATCTACAAGCTGGAGCGGTCGTTCAGCACCGAGGGGCCGGCGCGCGACCTCCTGCTGCAGGCAAGGGACGGGCGGCGTCCCGGGACGGACGTCCCGGGACATGCATCCCGCTCGGGTGGCTGAGGTGCTGGTGATGTGCCGAGGCAAGAGTAGGCGTGCTTCAATGCGAGAAAACGCAACATCGCAGCTTTGCCTTTTCCACGTAGCGCTGGGGAGGTCTGGGGACCGGCCCTGGGACAGGCATCCACCGGGAGACCATCACGAGACAGGAGGCCCACTTGGGGCCGTCCTGGGGCGGTGCCCCAGTGCGAAGCTGTTGTGGTTCAGATGGTCGGCTGAGGTGTCGCCTCTGTATTTATGTCCCGCTGTCAGACTAATGCCTGTAACGGGACGCTCCACTCGGGAACGGAGATCCGGGACCGTCTCGGGACATGTCCCTGGAGCCGTTCCCAGGAGGTGCCCCACTAACCGATTGTTCAGAAGCGTGGCGTTAGTGTAGGAAAAACGCCGCACCAATGCAGGCATCCTGCATGCAAGCTGTCTCCGTCCGGCACCGGCACCACACAGAAGCACCGTCCGAACAGCACGTCCACCACTGGAGTGTCCTCGCACAGGCGCCCCACCACGCGGTCCTTGCAACAGGCGTGGAGCCGAAGCAACAGCCTGAGAACACTAATCCCGCTGCTGAGCTGCCCGGTGCACGGTGTTTTAGATCTCCGCTAATGTTGCGTTTCGGTACGGACGGCTCGTTGCATTGGTTCCCTGCAGCTCACCTCCTACAGCAGTCTCCATAATCGCGTTTCCTCGCCACCGGTGAGTTCACTGTTGCCAGAACCGTGTGCCGAAAGTGGTCTCGTATCGGCTCGGTGCCCATCCACCCGCAAGGTGCCGTTCGTCAACCAGCTATGCGGCACTGGCCCGCTCCGCAGGTGAAGGCCAGCATCGACGCCTTCCGGGAGCACATGCCCGAGGTGCAGACGCTGGGCAACCCGGGCCTGCGCGACCGCCACTGGGAGAAGATCTCGGAGATCGTCGGCTTCCCGATCAAGGCCGACCCGGACACCACGCTCGCCAAGATCATCGACCTCAACCTGGTGGACTACATCAGGTGGGCGGCGGCCGCTCCGGGGAGCGGAACCGGGGCGGGTCAGCAGCTGGCAGCCAGCGGCGGCCGCTCCGGGGAGCGGAACCGGGGCGGGTCAGCAGCTGACAGCCCGCGGCGGCCGCTCCGGGGAGCGGAACCGGGGCGGGTCAGTAGCTGACAGCCGGCGGCGGCATGCACTGGTGCAAGGGTCGGCTAGTTTGTATGTTATGTACTTGACCTGGCATGCGTGGTAGAGATTGGACAAGCATAGTTGGTGTATTCCGAACGTCCTCACTGGATTCAATTCTGCTTATTTCGCTCAAGATAGTTCTTTGCAATCGTGGGCGCATCTTACCATATATTTTTGTCAGAAAACAGCTGATCAATGTTTCTTGTGGGGAACAGCTGCAGGGTGTAGCTGCTGTATTATGCTAAGGCGTGCAGTGCTTTCTGACATAATCGGCATTGCTTGGTGACAGTTAATAGCGTACTCGGTCTTGTCAGCCTGACACACCAGCGGCTTGGGCTGGTACAGCTTCCATCCAGGACTGTCTGACTTGTGACGTCACTCGTCCGCAGCAAGTTCGAGAGCATCAGCGAGTCGGCCACCAAGGAGTACAACCTGGAGCGGGCGATGGACAAGATGAAGGCCGAGTGGAAGGACATGGAGTTCAACATCGTGCCCTACAGGTTAGGCTGCTGTCGCCAGCTCAGCGGATGGCGCAGGCGCGTCTCGGTCGGTGCATACAATGCAGCGTATCACGCTGTAGTCGAGCGTCTGCTGGTGGGCGCGGCATGGCACCGGCAGCGCGGAGCCCGCTGGAGATTTGGACGGGCTTCGGCTACACTGAGCTCCGGAGCGCCGTCGGGCTGTGCCTTCTCCTGGGCCGCCTGGGAGAGTGCGCGGTGTCTTGGGAGGACTGCGCTCAGACGGGGCCGGGCCACAGTCAAAGGTCACAGGTCACATGTCACAGGGTCACAGTCGACGCTCCCCCGCTCAGCGCAGCCGAATGTGGAGGCTTAGTCAGGCCAGCATCCTGCCGTCCCGAACGTCGCACGAAGCACTGCACTACGCGCGGTGTGCGTACAGAGCTTCGTGGCTGCTCACTGGGAGTGGGCTTCCTCGTGCTCCGGTGGTGAGGGCGGGGCTGTTACGCAGCCACGTCCTATGAACCGGCTGTGGTGTGGGCGCGGCTGCGGGCGGCCAGCGTCAGCCGGCCCATGGTCCTGCGCGCAGGGAGTCGGGCACGTCGATCCTCTCCTCACTGGACGACATCCAGATGATGCTGGACGACCACCTGGTGAAGACGCAGACCATGCGCGGCTCGCCCTTCATCAAGCCGTTCGAGGAGCAGATCTGCGAGTGGGAGAAGACGCTGATGAACTTGCAGGTCTGGCCACCGCGCGGCCGGCGCTGACGCGACGACAGCGCTCCTTACAGTGGGATGTAGTTGACAGCATACCGGAAATGCTGACCAGTTCGCTGACAACTAGCATGATGTTATAAGCAGTTGATGTCAACGTTAAACCGTGATGCCGAGGTGACTACTGTCAATGAGGACTGCTGTCATTGGCACTGAGTGGACTTCTAACCGCCATTAGTGGGCCGGAAGGGATTGGATCAGTGTAAGGATATGTTGCTAGTCCTTCATCGTTTCACTGAAGATGATGGCGCTCCTCCCAGACAAAAAGAAAACAACAACTAAAAAGCGCCATCGTCATAGGCTCACACACACAGCCCAATGACTTGGGCTTGACGGACAATGCTGCAGGTTATATGAGCTGACACTGCTCAGCGGCTGATGCGCGGGATGACGACCACGGGTTCCGTCCCGTCTGCTCCGCCCCGCCCCGCCCCGCCCCGCCCCGCCCGGCGCTATCCGTGCACGACCTCGTAACGTGCCGACAGGAAATCCTGGACGAGTGGCTGAAGGTGCAGGTGACGTGGCTGTACCTGGAGCCCATCTTCTCCAGTCCGGACATTATGTCCCAGATGCCGGAGGAGGGCCGCAGGTTCACCACCGTCGACAAGGTGACGTTGCACGACTACTGGCGGAGGTGGGGGCGCACAGTTGTGCTGCCCTGGCCTGGTTGGATGCTAGTAGGATTTCAAAATCGGATGGAGGAGCCCATTCGTTCGGGTTCTTCCCGCAAATGGGAACCACTTTTCATAGCAAACGACATTTGTATTTCACTAGCTTTCCGTGTGCACTGTTTTTGGAGGGCTTAATGCCCAACCCAAGACTGTCGCCAGTCACACCGTATTGATCGCATTTGTGCCCACCATCTCACCCCAACATTCCCGCGAAGAGATTTCCGCGCGATGAGGCAGGTCACACCACCGACAACGCTTTCGTGATAGCGTCAGGACCTGCGCCGCCATCGCTAGGCATGCTTTGGTGCTACAGCGGGGTGACTGATGGCTGACGGCGTGTGTGCGCCTGTCGGCAGAACTGGCGGGACATCATGAAGGCCGCGCTGCTGGACACGCACGTGCTGGCCGTGGTGGACGTGGAGAAGATGCTGGAGCGGCTGAAGAAGTCCAACGAGCTGCTGGAGCTTATCCTGAAGGGGCTGAACGACTACCTGGAGAAGAAGCGGCTCTACTTCCCGCGCTTCTTCTTCCTGTCCAATGACGAGCTGCTGGAGATCCTGTCCGAGACCAAGGATCCGACTCGGTGAGTGGCCACGCCGACCGAAGGGGATCTCAACGAACGGGGGAGAAGGCACATCATCCGTGGTGGGAACGCCCATGGTCGCAGGGCGTTCGCGGCACAAGGGGTTCGCTCTGCCCCTTGTATCGCAAGCACACTTAGTAGCAGCACTTTTAGTAGTAGCACAATAGTAGCACACTTCAGCGCACCCAGTACGTAGCTATATAACTGAAGTAAGTCATGGAAATTTATGTGCGAAAGATGTCCCTGGGGATGGGGGAGGGGGGGGGGGAGAGCGGAGTAGTCGATGTTGCGTTAAGACCAAGTCTGCTTCGTTTAGCGCACATGTGGGCGACCGTCGAGTGGCTAGGGCGGTAGCACTGAGGGCTTTGGTGCTCTGGTGGAGGGCTCTGGCCCATTTACGCTCAGCTGCTGCCATGCCATGTGACCCTCCTCCGTCGGGGTCCCTGACCGCCTCCCCCTACCGAATCCTGTCGACTGTCCTTCCGTGAAGTCCTCTGACCCCTACGCCGGGCTCTCTCGTCGTGTTCTCCTCCAGCGTGCAGCCGCACCTGAAGAAGTGTTTCGAGGGCATTGCGTCGCTGACCTTCACTGAGACGCTGGAGGTGACGCACATGAAGTCGAGCGAGAACGAGATCATACAGCTGCTGGAGGAGATATCGACGGCGCGCGCCCGCGGGCAGGTGGAGAAGTGGCTGCTCGAGCTCGAGGCTCTCATGAAGTCCAGTCTGCAGCACGTGAGTTGCCGCTGCTCGAGACACCAAACACTCTTGGATTGTTTCTGGGCTGGGCTCAGAGTTTGCACCGATGAAGGCGTGAGGTGCGAACGTGCTGCTGTCTACGTGTCCTCAAGTGTGACACAGTTTCGTGTCAGACTGCTCCAGCACATGTCCCGAGTGTTGCTCTGGGCAGCGAGCGGCCACCAATATGTCTCGGCGTCCAACCCGTACACCGCCCTGACAGTCCTGGCTGCTACCGTTCTCTGCAGCATAACCGTGTTTCTACCATGAATATTGTCAACACATTTCCTTAAAAACAGCAGTTATAATCTCATACCAACGATGTCCTGCAGCATGACCGTATTGGCCTGCGATGCATCCATTTTACCAAGACACCGACCTGATATTGCAGGAGGTGGCCCAGGGGATGGAGGCGTACGCGAAGGACACGCGCGACCACTGGGTGCTCTCTTGGCCCGGCCAGATCGTGTTGTGCGTGTCGCAGACCTACTGGACCTCGGACGTACACAAGTCCATCAGGTGGGAGCGCGCCAGTCGCTCTGGAGCGCTGGCCGTGCTGGATGGACTCAGACATGGGGAATCACGCACGTCAGACCGCGCCATCCTCACGCTTTGCACGGTGGTGTGCCGCTGTCGTGCGTCATCCCTTGGCTGGGTTTGGTGTTCGCATGCTGTGTTACGCCGTCTGAGAGCTCGGTCGCTCTGTGGCGCAGGGCGGGCGGCGGCGCCATGCAGGAGTACCTGCAGGTGAACAACGATCAGATCGCCAAGATCGTGGAGCTGGTGCGTGGCAAGCTCTCCAGACAGAATCGCACCACTCTCGGTGAGGCTCAGCCACCAGCCCGCCGCGTTAACGGCCCAGAGCCTGGTTTGGCAACGCGAACATGCGAACCTGCGCGCTTTTAAATCGCGCCTCGTAAGCGCACGGGCCAGTGAAAGGTTTTATGCTTCGAGTTTCGACGCGTCAGTCATTCATGAGAAGGACTCACCTGTGAAACTAGGACGCTTGCGGTGCATGTGTCGGCGCAGCGCCCTTAGAAAAGCGGGGGTCCGTAACGCTGTTTCTTTGAACTAGCTACCGGTGAGCGCGGCCGGCTCTTTGCGACATCCTCCCGGTGCAGCAGTTCTCCTCGCTATGGCGCTACGTCTTCAGCGCAGCCGCTCGGTAGTGATTAGAAGTGATGGAGTGATGACGCGGCGGCCGCCTGAGCCGGAGCGGCGCCGGCGCTGCTGACCGACTGCAGCGGTGCCGGCGCCGGTGACCGACTGCAGCGGTGCCGGTGCTGCTGACCGACTGCAGCGGTGCCGATACCAGTGACCGTCTGCAGCGGCGCCGGCGCCGGTGACCGACTGCAGCGGCGTCGGTGCTGCTGACCGACTGCAGCGGCGCCGGCGCTGCTGACCGACTGCAGTGGTGCCAGTGCTGCTGACCGACTGCAGCGGTGCCGGTGCTGCCGACCGACTGCAGCGGTGCCGGTGCTGCTGACCGACTGCAGCGATGCTGCCGTGAGACTCGGCCGCGCCTCCGCTGGGCCGGCTCTGAGTGGGTCTGCCGCCTGCTCCCAGGTGCTCTGGTCGTGCTGGACGTGCACGCCAGGGACGTGCTCACCTCCCTGATCGCCAGCAAGGTGTCCTCCGAGAACGACTTCGCCTGGCTGGCGCAGACGCGCTACTACTGGGAGGTCAGGCGGCGGCGTGCCCGCACTCTCAAGGCTTGGTCACGTCCCGTTTTACTCAGGCAGGCAAAGCGAAGCTAAACCTTGCGCCTTTGATTCGTTCAGATCATTATTCATTAAAGCCTCTAAATGAAACGCAATGATCCCTTTGATCATTCTATCCACCTCCTCTTCCCGATGTTCGTAAGCATTTTGGTCGATTCCTCGCTGACACCAATTCCAACGCGTAGGCGTGGGTGTTTGTGATTGATGTACTCGTTGGTTGCTCGCGCTGTGTCGGCGTCACTTCTCACACACGACCACGCGTAGCCCCCCCCCCCCCCCCCGTTGTCCAGGGGCCTGACTGCGCGTCACCGACCGGTCAGGAGTCCCGGCTGGCCACACGTAGTCCCCCCCCCCCCCCCCCCGCTGCCTACGGGCCTGACTGCGCGTCACCGGGCGGCCAGGAGTCCCGGCTGGCCACACGTAGTCCCCCCCCCCCCCGCTGCCTACGGGCCTGACTGCGCGTCACCGACCGGTCAGGAGTCCCGGCTGGCCACACGTAGTCCCCCCCCCCCCCCCTCCCCGCAGCCTATGGGTCTGACTGCGCGTCACCGGGCGGCCAGGAGTCCTAGCTGGCCACGCGCAGCCCCCCCCCCCCCCCCGCTGCCTACGGGCCTGACTGCGCGTCACCGGGCGGCCAGGAGTCCCGGCTGGCCACGCGCATGATCAACTCGACGCTGATGTACGGCTACGAGTATCTGGGCAACACTCCGCGGCTGGTGATTACGCCGCTGACGGACCGCTGCTACCGTACCCTGTTCGGCGCCCTCCACCTGCACCTGGGTACGGCGCCGCGGCCGGGCCGCGCCGCAGCTCGGCCCGGCCTGTGGAGGGCGGAGGAGAGGGAGACTGGCGGCTTCAGTCATCATGTGGGCTTACAGTCGTGTGTGTCCGTACATGTCAGGTGTAGATACACCAAGTGGCCATACAGATTCGTCTGTGGTGTGCTGCGACTGCCCGCAGGTTGTCACGGGAGTTCTGCAGCCGCGCATTTACCCTGTGGCGATGCCGCCACCTGGACCTGGACACTGGCGAGTGCGGCGTGTCGTAGTCGGGAGAGGCTCCTCGGAGCCCTCACTCACTGGCGGCCGCCCGATCCGCAGGTGGCGCTCCGGCGGGTCCGGTCTAACCCCGGCGAGTGCGGCGTGTCGTAGTTGGCCTCTCGGGATCCTCACTCACTGGTGGCCACCCGATCCGCAGGTGGCGCTCCAGAGGGTCCGGTCTGACTCCGGCGAGTGCGGCGTGTCGTAGTCGGCCTGTCGGGGCCCTCACTCGCTGGCGGCCGCCCGATCCACAGGTGGCGCTCCGGAGGGTCCGGTCTGACCCCGGGGAGTGCGGCGTGTCGCAGTTAGGGACGGCCTTTCGGGGCCCTCACTCAATGGTGGGCGCTCGATCCGCAGGTGGCGCTCCGGAGGGCCCGGCCGGCACCGGCAAGACAGAAACCACCAAGGACCTGGCCAAGGCGGTCGCCAAGCAGTGCGTGGTGTTCAACTGCTCGGATGGACTTGACTACATCGCCTTGGGGAAATTCTTCAAGGTCAGTGCGCCGGAGTTCGTGCGCCGTTAAAAGCGATCCCAGAGTCGTGGCTTGGTTCTAGTACCTGCACGTCCTTTGTAAGCAGTGGCAGCGTGGAAGCCCGCTGCCAGCGGGGCCAGTTCACAGTCTGTTCTTGTACTGTCGATCCAGCAAGGTATCTGATTCGCCCTGTGCTGTGAGGCAGCGCGTGCCCTCAAACGGTCTACTGTTCGGGCGTTCTGTATCAGGGCAAAGTCGATCTCCGCGCCTGGTCAACGCTCGACGGGTCCCACCCCGATGGCCTGCGTCCGATGTTTACACCGCCGACACGGACCCAAGCACCACCTCCTCCTGCAGGGTCTCGCCTCGTGCGGCGCCTGGTCCTGCTTCGACGAGTTCAACCGGATCGACCTGGAGGTGCTATCGGTGGTGGCACAGCAGATCCTGACCATCTCGCGCGCCATCAGCGCCGGCGCCGACATGCTGCTCTTCGAGGGCACCGAGCTCAAGCTGGACCCCACCTGCGCCGTCTTCATCACCATGAACCCGGGCTACGCCGGCCGCTCAGAGCTGCCCGACAACCTCAAGGTGAGAGGCGGCCCGGCTGCGGTGAGCGCCGTACTGCGCTCCCGGGGTCCGGCTGCGGTGAACGGCGGGCTGCGCTCCCGGGGTCCGGCTGCGGTGAGCGCCGTACTGCGCTCCCGGGGTCCGGCTGCGGTGAACGGCGGGCTGCGCTCCCGGGGTCCGGCTGCGGTGAGCGCCGTACTGCGCTCCCGGGGTCCGGCTGCGGTGGACGGTCGATGCCGTGGTGCTGGACGTCCCGTCCGCCGTAGGCGCTGGTCGCTGGCGCTGCGTGACGGAGCAGCGCTATGGCATCTGCCTCGCCGCAGGGGACGTCCGTCGGCAGATACGAAGGGCGTGGGAGGGGGCGGAGCTCGACGGACAGATCCCCGCAGTGGTGTTAATCTGGGGATCAGACATGGGGACGAGGCCGGTTTCAGGAAGCGGGAGCCTTACTCCAATGGTTTGGGGCATTAACTCCAGGTTTAAGCTAGATTCAACGGCTAGCTTCAGCTTCGGCTTCGGTGTCGTGCCATTTTTAACGATTAGCCTCGACCCCTGCTTCGGCTGAGTGTCATTTCTAACGGCTGGCTGCGGCGTCGCCCAAGTACAATTTGAGTTATGACTATGGCTCCGACTTGATGCGACATTGAACTGCTGGCTTCGGCTTTGTCACGGTTTTTGTCCCTGCAGTTACGACTTAATTACGCATTGACGGCTGCACAGCTAAATATCCGCAATGTTTTATGTATAGATGCTTATACGTGATAAGGGCGATGACCCTAAAAGTCTTCCACGCCTCGTATCAATCATCCCTCAAAGTCGCGGTGATCTCTGATCTTAACGGTTTAACTTGATAAAAGCAAAAAGCTTCGGGTTTCTCTTTTTACAGCATTATGAGCTAGGAGCGTTTATGATGAAAATAATGGACCTTGCCGGGTGGTGCTGGTCTAACTACGTTATCAAGCGCTATTGGTTATATTTTCAAAATTCGACGCTTCAAGCTTTATTCTCGGCTACGAGTGTTTTCCTCGTTCAAAACTTCTACTCGTGACCATGAGCATAATACAAAACGTCGAGTTTTGTTTACAATGTAGCCAACTTTTGCGTGATAACGTCGTTTAATGGATTAATACTATAATCTTTCACGCCTTCTGGTATATTGGAGGTCGATTGAACTGCTTGCATAATAACTCCAAAACTCATAATGTCCATACAGTTCTAGCAGACGCGAAAAGAGTCCGGTTTCGCCAAGTAACGTACACCAGATGCGGCTTCGGCTTCGGCCCCGTTATTACAAAGTGATGGACTCGGCTTCGGGTTCGTGCTTCCCAGGCTTGAAGCCGCTATCTTCGGCTTCAGCTTTGCGTGTGCAAAATTCGAAGGCTCCGGCTTCGGATTCAGTTTTACCTTAAAAAATGCGAAGACGCTGCCTTCGGCTTCGCAGCTCCGAACGTCAAAGATTCCGGCTTTAGCCGCGGCTTAACTTTCATGTTATTGCCTTGGCCTGGTATTCGGCTTCGAAGCCAGTGATCTGACCTCATCCCCACGCCTGTTGGGAGCAGGTCTTTCCGTCCATCCGAGAAACTACGGCCTGTCTGCGTGCCGCTGTGCATTTTATTGGCTGATGACGCTCATGCATGCGCGCGCTGGCGCACGTCAATGTGTGTGCAATTTTGAGGCAGTAACACATAAGAAGGGCTTACATATTTCCTCACTTTACATTACCTATTTAAAGACAGTGATACAATAGAACGGACCGTAAGCAACGTTGCTAACGAGCAGTACACCCCTAGCGCGCTGTATCTGAAGTGCAGTGATCAAGGGCACCTCGTGCCGTTGAGGCTAATACTGGCCCCTGGTGACTCCTCCCGGACAACTTCCACTCGCTGAGGCTCGTTTGCGATACCGGAGCGCGTTGCCTGTGACAGCAGCCCTGCCTCCCCACATCCCCCGGCGGCCCTGCCTGCGCATACCCCCGGCGGGCCTGCCGCGGTGGCCCTGCCTCCCCACATCCCCGGCGGCCCTGCCTGCGCATACCCCCGGCGGGCCTGCCGCGGCGGCCCTGCCTCCCCACATCCCCCGGCGGCCCCGCCTCCCCACAGCCCCTGGCGGCCCTGCCTCCCCACATCCCCCGGCGGCCCTGCCTGCGCATACCGCCGGCAGGCCTGCCACGGCGGCCCTACCTTCCCACATCCCCCGGCGGCCCGGCCTCCCACACCACCCGGCGGTCCTGCCTCCTTATAACCGCCGGCGGGCCTACCGCAGCGCCGTCTAAGGCGTCCTGTCATGCCACACAGGCGCTGTTCCGCTCCGTGGCCATGATGGTGCCCGACTACGCCATGATCGCCGAGATCGTGCTCTACTCGTGCGGCTTCGTCAACGCCCGGCCGCTGGCCACCAAGATTGTGGCCACGTACCGACTCTGTTCGGAGCAGCTTTCCTCTCAGCCCCACTACGATTACGGTACGGCGGCGGCGGCGGCCCCGGCCGACACCGGCGCCCGCGCCAATGTGGCAGCCGCCTCTCTGAGGCGGGGTAAGCCGCGGGTGCACTGTTGGTGGCGTAAGCACCGAGCTGGAGGGGATGAATGCATGGCCAGCTACCATCTTCGTTTTGTTGCGGTGTCTGCTGTTGGATTCAACTTTCAAGAACACAGTCACCAATAGCCTAGCTTTGAGGGAATCACGGTGAATGAAACGTGCGGACGGCATGCCATAGGCCCGCTAGAACGGGTGGGATATTGTCCACTGATATCTTACGTAGGCCATGACCATGACTTCGCTAGGCCCTCATCGTCTTCGGGTACGTCAACCTCGCCGCTACCATGGTCTCCGCGCCACACCCACCCTATTGGTGTTGGCAGGCATGCGGGCCGTCAAGTCGGTACTGACCGCCGCCGGCAATCTGAAGCTCAAGTACCCGGAGGAGTCGGAGGACATCCTCATCCTGCGCTCCATCACCGACGTCAACTTGCCCAAGTTCCTGACGCAGGACTTGGGACTGTTCGCGGTGGGTGCACCGGTCTGGCCGCTTGCCGCTGGGCTGGTGCGGTCCGCCGGGCCTGTGATCATGTCCCGCAGGACCTGGGACTGTTCGCGGTGGGTGCACCGGTCTGGCCGCTTGCCGCTGGGCTGGCGCGGTCTGGTGGGTCCGTAATTCTTCCCCGAATTGTCCAGTCTGCTCTGACGGAACGGGCATCAGCCAGACGCTGCTTTGGATAGCTGACCCTAAATCCACGACCCATTGTATGCAGAACGGTGATTTCTTGTATTCGCTCTTCCTTGGTATCTCAGATGTTGCATTGTTACGCTTGTGAAGTCAGCGACGTAAAATACTACAAAGGTCTGCAGCACCTGAAATTGATATTGTAACGGAGTGTACAGTTCTGGTGAAGTAGCCTTTACGGTGTCGTTTGTTCGCGTCGGCAGGGCATCACCTCCGATCTGTTCCCGGGCATACACCTGCCTGATACCGACTACAGCATCTTCAACGCAGCCGTGCAGGAGAGCTGCGATGAGGCCAACCTGCAGTGCACCGACTACTTCCTGGAGAAGATACAACAGGTGAAACCGCTACACAGTCTCCATTGCACGAACGCGAAAGGCGTTGACGTAAGGCTAGAAGCCATTCTGTTCTCTACACATGCTTCGCGAACAGACCGTCCGCTTGTATGATCTGTGGCAGCAAATCGACATGCGGTCCATTATGAAACGCTTTATTCGGGTGAGAATATCTCCCCAACCCCAACGTGTTTCAAGTTCAACGTGGTGCTTTTCGTCGCCGTGTGGCGAAATTAGTCTAAAATCGTGCCGTGCCCCTCCAATAAGCTCCCAAAAGCTCGACCTCCTCTTCCTGTCATCACCACCACCCTCGGCTGTGCCGCGAGCCAAGGCCGACGCGTGACTGCCGGCGCCGCTCACGCCTCACGCCTCACACCTCACGCGGCCACCGCAGATCTATGAGATGATGATCGTGCGTCACGGCTTCATGATCACCGGCTACCCGTTCGGCGGCAAGACCTGTGCCTATCGCATGCTGGCGGAGGCGCTGGGCAAGCTCCACGATCAGGTGCGCCGGGGGGGGGGGGGGGGAGGATTGGCCGGTGGTGGGCGGGGTTGCCGTACAGCCAGAGGGGGTCGGCTCTCGCCCTGCCACGCTCCACTTAGACAACGCTCTGGAGGTTAGAAGCGATGGCCCATATAACTCTACTGAGGGTGCTGACATAGAGCTGTGGCAATCTGGTGAGGCGGAGAGCAGGTAAGTGTGAAAGAAAGATTCGATTCAGCTGGGCGCTTTTCTCCTCAGGACTTATCATCCCCACCAAGAACATGTCTTTCTCTGTTTTTACACGTTTTGAGATCGATCCCCGATCACCACATCAGCGATGTACATAAACTCGGCAGGCGTCCGTAGCGAATAGCCACGCTAATTTGGGTGTCGTGTAGCCGAGCGGTCTAAGCACCCCTTCGCCTCCAGCTGACCACAGCCTAACAACCGAACTCAGCCACCCTGTGCGCGCGCTGACTGCCGCCCACCGTCTGCAGGAGCAGATGGAGGAGAACTCGGTGCAGATCACCGTCATCAACCCCAAGGCGATCACGATGGGCCAGCTGTACGGCCAGTTCGACCCGGCCTCGCATGAGTGGACGGACGGCGTGCTGGCCGTCAGCTACCGCGCCTTCGCCGTCGACCCTAGTCCTGACAGGTGAGCTGGCGGCCGGCGGCCTCGGATACCGGCTGCAGGTGCCGGTCGGCGCGCCGCCGCGGGGTGTCAGGGGTTAGGTGGGGTGGGGGTGGGGCCAGCCGTCTGCTCAGAGATGCCGCCCACACCGCCTGCTGTGGGCGCAACGCCGAGCCATCCGCGTGACGCGTGGTTCAGACCGTGTCTGTGTTGCTGGCGGCTGTGGCAGGCCGTTCGGACACCCGACGGTCTGCTGGGCCCAGACTTGTGCGGCAGCTGTGGCTGGCACCGGCTCGGGCCGGCCCCGAGCGTGGCCGCGCCGTGCGCCGCCGCTGACGCCGGTGCGTCACCAACCGCCAGGAAGTGGCTCATGTTCGACGGCCCAGTGGACGCCATCTGGATCGAGAACATGAACACCGTGCTGGACGACAACAAGAAGCTGTGCCTGATGTCTGGCGAGATCATCCAGCTGTCGCCCACCACCAACCTCATCTTCGAGCCGATGGATCTGGAGGCTGCCTCGCCGGCCACGGTCAGTTCCCCCCCCCCCCTCCCTCCCATCGTCCGCGCTGTATCTCGCTTCAGAGATGCCCCAGTGATGACGGCACGGGGCGCGAGTGTCTGACAGCTGTTGTGGACTGACTGGAAGTCAGTTGGCTCACGGACGGTGCTCGGCCCATGGTGTCGCTTTCTTGAGTAGGTGTGTGTGTGAGGGGGGGGGGGGGGCTAAGGCGAAAACAGTGACAGCCTGCCCAAAAAAATTATATCCTCCGGATTTCGGCCAAGTCATTGTGTGTCCGCTATGTTGAAACGAAAAGGAAGTTAAAAAGCTTTCGTAGAGTCCAAAATTAGTTTGCTGCGGAGGAATCGTATCCCACTGCACGGCGATGTGAGGCTGCCTTTTTGTGGAAACACTGAGAATGGGGCGTAATTCACAGAAGAAAGTCTTGGTAAACTTGATAAGAAATCACTGGTAGCTGCGGTCTTCGCTGATCGAACCGTACCATTCAGCTGCCAGTCAAACGATCGTGCGACAAGTGCACGTACCAATGTTAGGGGAAACATTTGTTAAGTTTTACCGGGGCCGCCTTGCACTTTTAAAAACTGACGCATTTTGGAGTCAGTTGTTGTTTACATCAATGCAGGCGTTATCGTGCGAAAACTTGTCAAACATTTGCAGACGAGCCTAGCATATGAAAGGGGTAGCATAACACAAATATGCTGCCTACAGGATGCTATTTGGTACAAAATGCACGTGATACTAGCAAACTTATGTCTAAGTACCTAACGTAAAATGTGCCTAAGTTGTAGCTATACCATTTTTTCACGTATTCGAGCCATTGTTCCCTCCTTCATATGCGTTGAAAAGGCTCAGAGAGACATTGGAGGGGGGGGGGGGGGAGGGCTCCTCAAACCTGGTCAGCATTGAGGGGAGGGGTTCAGCCCCCCCCCCCCCCTCCCAAGGACTAAAAGTAAATCTGGCTCGGCCAATAGGCGCCAGCCTCAGCCTATCTCATACTCATAAGCAGTGTGCCGGACCATTCAGACCGCAGACCGTCGCCGTTAGTCGGACAGCGTGGTGACGCGCCAGCACAAAATGCGCCGCGTTTAGCTTTTGATCGCAGCACGGCAGTCAGCGTCCTCCGGCGTCCGCGCCGCGTGCTGAGGCGCATGCCGGGCCGCCGCCAGGTGTCGCGCTGCGGCATGATCTACCTTGAGCCGAACACGCTCGGCTGGCGGCCGCATCTCACCTCCTGGATGGCCACGCTGCCCGAGACGCTGACCGAGCAGCACCGCACCATCATCGCCGACATGTTCGAATACTTCGTGCCGCCGCTGCTCAACTTCATCCGCCGCTCCGGCATCAAGGTGGGCTGACAAGGCGCGGCCACAGCGGGAGCGGGAGGAAGAGGGGGGGGGGGGGGGGGGGCACGGGCGGCGTTCGGCCGGCCGCCGACCAGCCGCCGGCCAGCCCGGTTGGAGGTCTTCGCCGGCGGCCCTGGGCGCGTGGCAGCGGTGCGGGGTGCGGCGGTCGGAGGCGGCAGCGCCGAGAGTTCAGCGTCTGTCTGCAGGCAGGCAGGCAGTGCCGGGGCCTGGCTCTGCGTCGCTGCGGTGTTGGAGGCGATCGCGGTGCCTGCCGTTTTCGGAGGACGGTCGCGGGACTCCGTCTGCTGCCTCGTGTTCAGTGGTAGCTCTCGGCTGCCATGGGTGGGACGGACGGATGGCGGGCAGCTACCCCACCTGCGTTGTGGATGGGCCTGTGCGGCGCGGGTACGGTGCTGCCACCGGCGCGGACTAAAGCCACCGGTGGGTGCCGACCGCACTGGCCGGGCGGCGCCGCTCGGCGCCCGTGTCTGTGCGGTGTCTGACGCCTGTGCCGTCTGTTGCGCGCTGCGAGCAGTGGATGAAACTGGACCCGCCTCTGATGGCGGATCTGGCGGACGAGGTACGGTCGCGCCCTCTCGTAGTGTCAGTCTTGCTCGAACACTGACAGGCGATCCTGCACCTGCCTGCTCTTGCCGCCCGGACGCACCACACTTCCCGCACGACTCGGGCGCTACATCGCACGCACGCCTTGGCGCGGCGTTTGGCGTCGAGTTCGTGACTTGGGGATGCCGTGTGGCGAACGGCGCCACCGGCCGCTGTAAATACTCTGTCTTCCGTGTGAGGGGTCCGCACGACTGCACTGGTCATTTGAACCATGGATTTGGGTTCTGGTCGACGTCACTGTGCACGTCATTCTAGCTTACGCTTCGTCGTTAACGACAGGCAGTCACACTCATCGGAGCCGCTGCCAGGTGCGTTGTTTTGTCCACAGCCTTCGTGATTGATGGTCGCACATGCGCTACCTGATCTTGGACCGGGTGTCGGATGTGTTGGTCCACGGAGATACATGCATGTCGTTAAGCTGATTTGGTTTAATTTGACAACGGCCGTGCAATCTGCGTTCGTTGTCTTCTCCACCATAATATGCATGATCTACATATGCATTGATTGTTGCATCCGACTGTTGGAAACGTGGCTGATGAAAGCAGGCGATTTGTTTTGTATGCCCTATCTTGCTACAGGCGCATGAGTTGTAGACCATCGGAAATGATTTTGCTAGCATGTTTAGTAAAACGTTATTAGTGATACAAGCTTATGTGCTTGCGGTCTCCCACTTGGAAGCCATGTAAATATGAACACAAAATACGATTCCTTTTCTCATCCGCGAATTGGTTACGGCTATCTCCGCCGTGCCACGGTAGATGGAAGTCGCGCAGGATCAGCGTTCTTATAGCCCATGTGCATCGCGGCACAATGCGACCAGTGCCGTGTGACGTTCTCCAATCGCAGGAGCTGTCTCCGACCACCGACATCAACCTGGTGCACTCGCTGATGAACCTCTTCGACTGCTTCATGGACTGCTATGAGGATGACAAGCACCTCAAAGTGACTCCAGAGTCGGACGTCAGGACTCATCTGGAGGTGAGTCGGAGTCTCCCGCGATCGCCATGTTGGCTCCAGAGTCGGACGTCAGGAATCATCTGAAGATGAGTTGGAGTCTGACTACCGGCCGGGCCGGAACACGTGAGCTGCTGAGTCGCGCTGGGCCGGCCGTCGTCTGGAGTTGGGCCGGAGTCGGAGTAACCTGCCATCGCCGTGTTGCCGTCGGCCGGGCTGGAACACGTGCACTGCTGAGTCGCGCTGGGCCGACCGCTGTTACGCAGCCGAGGCGCGAGGCGTCTCGTGCTGGCTTGATACGGCGTGGTAGCCCAGAGCCAGCCGTCTCGTTGTCACAATGGCGTCCGTCGTGTCTGCTCAGCACGCGCCTGCAAGCGGTGGTAGCCGGGTGACAGGGTGTGGGTGATGGGTGTCGGCTCGACACAACGTGGGGGAGAACGGAACGCATGTTTGACCTGCTCGTGCCTGCCTTGATGAAAACGACGGTGGGCGCCGACATCTCAGATGGCTTTATATGCCAGCATTTCAGAGGTAGGAAGAAGGAAGGGCTAGGATCACATACTTCGTACTCTGATCTAGTTGTGGGTCCCTGCTTGCACTTTGTAGGGAAAAGTGAAGGATTTAATGATCAGTGAAAGTCTGTGCGTCTTCGGTGATCTGGCGTCCGCCTGTGATCAGTAAGTTTATTGACGTGCCCTGATGTGCCTGGGGAAGGGACACAGTGGCCGAATGTTTAGAACCCCAGGCTTGTGCGGTAGTGTGTGTGTGTGTGTGTGTGTGTGGTGTGTGTGTGTGTGTGTGTGTGTGTGTGTGTGTGTGTGTGTGTGTGTATGTGTGTGTGTGTGTGTGTGTGTGTGTGTGTGTGTGTGTGTGTGTGTGTGTGTGTGTGTGTGTGTGTGTGTGTGTGTGTGTGTGTGTGTGTGTGTGTGTGTGTGCGGGTGCGGGTGCGGGTGCGGGTGCGGGTGCGGGTGCGGGTGCGGGTGCGGGTGCGGGTGCGGGTGCGGGTGCGGGTGCGGGTGCGGGTGCGGGTGCGGGTGCGGGTGCGGGTGCGGGTGCGGGTGCGGGTGCGGGTGCGGGTGCGGGTGCGGGTGTGGGTGTGTGCGGGTGCGGGTGCGGGTGTGGGTGTGTGCGGGTGTGGGTGTGTGCGTGTGCGTGTTGCGTGTGCGTGCGGGTGCGGGGGGAAGGTGGTCGAATGTCGGTCGTGCGAGCGCCTTAGAGCGCCACTGTTGGGCTGTTGTTGCTCGTCGCCCCGACAGGCCTCGCTGTCCTCCTGGCAGTGACGTGATTGTGTTTACTAGTCACTTGATAGACGCATCATCATCGGACGCATCGGTCCCCGCCCAAGTCTCGTGAGGTCTTGGTTTGGACGCGGTGGCAGGCTAGTGTGCACATTGGCAGTGAGGGCCTCTAAACACCGCGCCTACTTGGGGCATGCCCGTCCCACACGAGCTGTGTGGCCTTCAATGCGGTCGTCAGTTACTGCAATGGAGTCCTTTATCGTGCGAGCAAGGTATATTATGATCACCTACGCCTACATACTAGTGACCAAGCATCCACTAACGTACTTTAAATGCCATTTGATTAGGCGACATGGCGTGCGTCATGCATCGTGACTCACGTGGAGGGCGTGCGCGGTACCGAAACAGTCCAGCCGTAATCGAACAAGAGGGAAGTGACGTACATGGGTTGCCAAGCGGCGGTCCGTTTTAGTGGCGGGCATGACGGCGTATTCGGCCACGAACGTCCGCTCGTGCCAACACCGACCGAGTTTGCCGCCAGCCACAGCGAACACCGGCCCGAGCACCGACTCCCTGGGCTTTCGTCATTTGGGACGCGTTGCTAGGACGGTGTTTGGTTTGTTAGCGACAGCCGGCGGTGGCAGCGGCGGCCGGTGTCAGTGGTCGCCATGTCGTGGTTGCCGCTGGTGGCGCTGCTAGCCGGGCTGGGCCGGGCGGCCGGCTCGGAGCCTGGCTCCCTCGAGTACTTCTCCGAGCAGGTGACTGGCGGCGGCCTGCAGGTGCCGCCGCGGGCGTACCGCATGAGTCCCGCCCAGCCGCTCAACCAGACCCTGCCGCCTGAGCTGGTGCTGGCGGAGGAGACCGGCCTGCTGGAGGCCACGTGCCGTCACCGCTGTCTGCACCGACCCGACTGTCTGGGCACGAGCTTCCGACCGCGGGGCGGCCTATGCCGACTGGCGGCGCACCGGCCGCTGCCAGGCCGGCTGGTGGACGCGTCTGAGCCGTGGCTGGCGGCCAGTCGCGCCGGCGTCGCCTTCCTGGACGAGCCGTGCGAGCGCAGCGCCGACTGCCGGCTGGCCGTGCCCTGGTCGGCCTGCGCGGACGGCGTCTGCCGCTGCCTGGACAACTTCAACCGCAGCGCCGCGGCCGGCTGCTGGCCGCAGGGTGAGCTGGTGCCGGCGAACGGCGGCCGGCCAAGCGAGGCGGCCCTGCTGCGCGAGGAGCCGGCCGCCGACGCCGCCGCCTGCAGCCAGCTCTGCCGGGAGGAGGTTCGCTGTCTGTCGGTCGAATTCTCGCCGGCCGCCGTCGCCGACCAGCAGGCGTGCCGCCTGTACTCGACGGGCGTGACGGACGAGAGCGTCGCCGCCGACGCCGGCTGGCAGACGTTCGTGCTGCGGCTGGCGCCGCCGCCGGCCACACCACCGCCCCAGTTCTCCCGCGTCGGTGACGGCTGGTACCTGAACAGGAGCGCGGCTACCTACAACCAGGCGACGCTGGACTGCGCCGGCCTCGACGCCATCGTATGGCCGGGTCGTGATGACGCGACGCGCGGGGCTCTCGTGGCCGCCGGCCTGCTGCCCGACCCTCTCTCCGGCTGGATTGGTGCCGATGACACCGGCGTCGAGGGCAAGTTTATCCACAGCGACGGCGAGCCGATGGGGAATACGACCGCGTGGGGCGCAAACGAGCCCAACAACGCCAACGGCGTAGAGGACTGCGTGCAGTTGAGGCCGAACGGAATGCTCAATGACCTGCCCTGCAATCGGGAGCTGCCGTACGTCTGCCAGTACGTGGGCGCGACGTTGGCTCCCGGAAGGCCGGCCCGCTGCTCGTGGCTACGAGCCACACTGCCGAACGTCGGCGAGGTCAACGACGGCAACATGACCACGGGTGTCGGAACGCCAGACAGGCACGGCGAGCACTGGTGCATGATTGACCTCGGCGCGACCCACCAGGTCACGGCCGTGATATTCGTCGCCGGTCCGCGTCACAAGAACAGCAATCATGGCACCGTCATATACGTGGGCTCGGAGCCCGGCCAGTACCACGCCGGCGTGGCCGCGCCCTGCGTTCGCCGGATGGCCAAGTTCACGGACCCGTCAATGGCGCACCTGCTGTCCTGCCGGCAGCCCGTGCAGGGCCGCTACGTGCATGTAGTGCGGGCAAGGCGGAACCTGTCTGTTTCCGAGATTATCATATTCGGTCAGCGACTGGGGGACGTTGGGGAGTGAGGACATCCTCGTCGATGCGGTCTTCTTCGCAGCGCTCGCCAGCAGCTGGCGAAGCTGAGCGGTCGGTGGGCATGTGGGTCTCGTGACGCGCCGATGCAGCGCTCGCCAGCCGCTGGCGAAGCTGAGCGGTCGGTTGGTATGTGGGTCTCGTGACGCGCCGATGCAGCGCTCGCCAGCCGCTGGCGAAGCTGAGCGGTCGGTGGGCATATGGGTCTCGTGACGCGCCGATGCAGCGCTCGCCAGCCGCTGGCGAAGCTGAGCGGTCGGTGGGCATGTGCGTCCCGTGACACGCCGATGGAGTGGTTGCCTCCTTTCTGCAGAAGACAGGCTGCGGTTCACTAGACTAGCGAAGGGTCGTATCCGTTGACCGCATGTCTCGGCGCTACGCGGCGGCTGCTACCGTGTTTGCCTCAAGTACATCGATTAACGAGGAAGCAGTGCTGCTGCACTTCTCTGATACGACAATACTGCTTCGCGGATGTGTGTCCCTTTCTGCAAGCTCAAGAGTAGTATGATAAAAAGCGCTTTATGTGCGTGTCCACACAAATAACTCGTTCGAATTAGTTATCGCCTTTTGCACAACCGCTCGCTGTTGCTCATGCTCCGATCAGTGTTAGATGCAGGCATTCCGCATGAGATCGGGGCTGTGTGTCGGAGGCCCAGAAGAGAACCAGACCACGCAGGGGTTGGCATTGCTGCGCGTATCCCTAGACGGTACATGCTGAGAACATAACACGCTCAATGCCGTCAAATGGCTGGGCATCGGCTGCCGCTGTTTACGAATACAGGAGTTAGTAGCTGGCATTCGTGCAGCGAGTTGCCGGTCTCCGTCGGTATGCAGGCATCTTCGCATCGGCCAGGGTACTGCCGCGGCCGTGCTACGTCGGTGTGTTTTATTGTTCGGCATGTATTGGATTCTATTTTGCTTCCGAATCAGTCACCGGTCTCCTTCTGAGTAAATAAACCCATTACGAGTGAAGTTTTGGTGAATGCTTTGAGTTTGAGAGAACGTTATTTAGCAAACCTGCACCGAGGGCAGAAACAACGCCTAGTTGACCCGACCATTCGATGATCTCCGGTTTTAGAATTGAGAAGTTGACCGCAGAGCTAGCTGATCGCCGAAGGGATTTATGTATAACATGGGGCAGATTTTTCCACTATTATGGAAATAACCGATCCGAAAGCACTTCAGAAACATATCTGAAGCCTCCAAACGATCGTTAGTTTTCGAAGAAGTTAGCTCTCAGGCGAACGCTAGCGAGATGGAATTGGCATAAAATAGCGAGTCGGTCCCCTCCACACATGCCCACACTATCCCCACGTCTAACCGCCCCTGCCAGGCAAGCAGACGGCCAGATCCGTGCTCCGATTGATGCATTTTCTTTCGTGTGCCTGCTCAACAAGCCCGGTTAGTCCTGTGAGCAGCTGCACCTGAGCTCGTAAGCGCCTGACGGCCGTGCCCAGACGGGCCAGGTGCATCAGGGATGGACCGGTGTGCTGTGACCGGCGTCCGCCCCTGCCGCCAGTGCTCCTTCTTCTTCTCCTGCGTCTGGTCGTTCGGCGGCTCCTGCGACGATGCCGGCCGCGAGAAGTTTGACGTCATCATGCGCCAGCTGATCGCGGCCACGGTGACGGAGCAGCTGCGGGTGAGTGACGTCATGAATGGATGCCGTCCTCAGCACATGGCGGCCGCAGTGACGCGACAACTGAACGAGCGACGTCATCGTGGGCCAGCCGACCAGGGCCCAATTTTTCGCCCCTCTGTTTGCCGTTTTTGGAGGGACGTCAAAAAACATAGTTCAAACAACATGTTTTCATTCCAACTATTTCTACATGTCTACCTTTAATTGGCTTTTATTGGACACCTAGATACATGCATATCAGTGCATGATTTTTTTTTTTGGGGGGGGGCGCCTACTTCCGGTGCCTCCCCTTGCCTATAACCCTCTGTACTTAAAGGCATACATCTTGGCCTGCAGCTGTTACTGTTGTGTCACATGTCCTATCGTCGACACGCTCGACCGTGCGAGGACGAGGCAGCTGTCCACCGGATCACAAAGTGGGGCACAACCAGCTTTTGTTTTGCCACGAGACCCGTGCTCGGTAATGGAAGCAATCAAGCTCATGGAAAGAAACTCCGCTGAGTGAAATGCGTGGACATTTTTGTCGTAATCTACTGATTTACTTGGCATCTTTCTCGTCAGACGTTTTCTCTTTACGCTTTAATGATATTGCGCAAGTAAGGCGCAATGACTGGCCCCCATGGGATGCGAGTGCCACCTGGTGGCGGTTCATGTCTAGCAGCGTTTTAGGCCAGTGTTAGGGCACGAGACAAAGCGCGAAAATGACGATAGTCACTGTTTCGGGATTTGTTGGGGCTTAAGAGCTATGTTTTGAAGTCAGAATGCTCTACTCATTGCAGGAAAACATAATTATGAATTGGTTTAGTGGGCACTCCGGGTTGCGTAAAGATGCCCTTGTTAAGGAAGTCAAATCGTCACACCGTCACGACCGCCGTAGTCTATTTTGCCTGTTTGATATCCCTGGTGGCGGATCACACGGTTCTTAACAACGCGTCCGTCGCATGTCAACTTGCGTATGTTGCTGTTAAGCCCCACAGTTGGGCAATGCGTTCTTGGTGCGCACTGTCGTACGTCGATATCAGACACACTGATGCATGTCTTGGACCCTGCTGTCTGAGGCACCCAGTGTCTTTCTGAAACGTTGTAGATCGAGTTTCATATGGACGAGGTGGCGCCGCCCCGCAGAACATTCCTGCTGCCATTCCCGAGGGAAGGACGAGTGTACGACTACAAGTTCGTGCCGGACGTAAGTTCCACATGTCGGCGGCCGCACCCCGGCGCTTGCCGCGGTCCCAGCAAATCGCGCACTGTCGAACCCTCGGCACGGTTTCTGATCATCGTCACCACCGAACTACCGGTGCTGGGGACGCGGGTGCTTGAGCGCGGCATAGCGCAGACCGTCTGGTGATGACCGCCGCGCACTCTGGGCAGCGCGGAACAGATTCACCATAACGTCATGCACGCGCCGCGTGACGTGTCGCCCCGCGTCACCGCGACTCGCTCAGCTCCGGCGTCGCCCAAGGAAGTGACGCCTGGCGTCCGTCCGGCGCAGGACCACGGCTTCTGGGAGCTGTGGACGGTGGCGCTCAAGTCGCTGCCGAGCATCCCTCGCGACATGCAGGTGAACCAGATCATCGTGCCGACCGTGGACACGGTGCGCTACACGGAGCTGATGCGCCTGCTCGTCTACCACCGCAAGCCGGTGCTGTTCTGCGGCCCCACTGGCACCGGCAAGAGCATCTACACCATCGTAAGGAGCTCGGCCTAGTCGGTCTCGCCTCGCGTGCTGCTGTCGGCGCGTTTGCTGGGAGCGTTGTAACTGTAGGGCGTGATTTATATTGATGGTCCGATTCAGTTGCTCCACAATGTTCCGGTAATTGTTAAAGCAAATCATAAATTAAAATCGTGCCATTTCCGCGGGATTTACAACCGCCTGCAAGGGAGGGCGCCAATTAATAAGCGCCACGGGCCGCCCTCTCACGTGGCGTTTCACACACAAAGCACAAGGGTGTGGACAGGCTGGCCCGCGCCACGGCCAGTGACCTTAACCTGACCCCACGGCCAGCCACACGGTCTGCGACGGCGGTGGTCGGCCTCCGAGCGAGGGCAGAGGTCAGGCGCGGCCCCGACGGCACGAGGGCGCCGTCTCGGGCGATGGCGCGGTGCAGCGGTGGCCGCCACACGCCAAGCTGGCGCGCCGTGCTCACCTGGCGTACCACGGCGCTGTGGCTTGGCTTGTGAGGTGTAGCCTGGGAGTCTCTAAGCGCTGGGCATTAATTGCCTTCATCCTACTGTTCCGTCCCATGCCAGTTTGACATCCATCTGACGTTTACTGCTTTTTCAGACCAAACAGGTGGACGAGGGAGGGCATCCTTTTCGTTGAGGCGCTTTGTCGTTTTGTTGCGGCTGACCGCGGGTGATCGTTACCGACAGAACTTCATGCTGAACAAGATGAAGAAGGACAAGTACCTGCCGTTGATCGTCAACTTTTCGGCGCAGACGTCAGCCAACCAGACACAGGACATAATCGTCAGCAAGCTGGATAAACGACGCAAAGGTAAGCCAATAACGGCTTGATCACGCCTGTCCGATCGGATGGTGTGAGTGTCACTGTTGCACGCTAACGATACACGGTAGATCTTGATAACCGCACCGGACTCGTCCACTGTCAGCCGATTCCTTCCCCGGGTCGTATGGTACCGGACTCCAGGTGCCCAGGTGGCCGCTGGCCACAGGCCAGGCCAAGGGGGGGGGGGGGGACGCGGTCGCTCACACCACAGTGCGGCTGCCGGCGTCTGGCTAGCCAGTCGAGTAAAGCAGCGCAGATGAGAGGGTGGGCTTGGTGCCGGAACTTGTGATGCGGTTAGTGCTGTGAATGCCTTGATTCTGAGCGCGAACAAATGATTTGATTAATAAAGTACAGTTCTTACAAGTGGACATATTGGTCACAGTCATACTCAAGTCCCCGGCACTTCTTACGTGATATCGATTGTCAATACGATCATCAGGTACCTGTATTTAAATCCAATGGGTGCCCCTAATGCAATCACTTTATATCAGATCTAAAATGGTCATATCGGGAGCGGAACACAACACATTCTGTTGAGCCAGCGAGAAGAGCTGGCTCCCAGCTACATCCTTCGCCCTTCAGTCTGGTTGGTAAGGACGGACAGTGGCTGGGTGTGTCGGGATGATTAACAAATGCCGCCACTGTGCTGGGTCGCTGTACCGCGCTGCGTCCTCACTCCGCCATGGTTTTGGCACTGCGAAGGCACTGAACTTCGTCCTCGCAGTCATCAGCAGAGTGCAGCGGCTTGCCACTGCGGGCGTCGTGACGAGACGCCACGGACCCACAGCACGCGCTCACCGCCTCCGTCGCCAGGCGTACTGGGCCCGCCGCTGGGCAAGAACCTGGTGGTGTTCGTCGACGACCTGAACATGCCGCTGAAGGAGACGTACGGCGCGCAGCCGCCCATCGAGCTGCTGCGTCAGTGGCTCGACCACTGGATGTGGTACGACAGGAAGGACGTCAGCCCCTTCAAGCTGATCGACATGCAGGTCAGCGGCGCCGGCCGGCAGACGCGTGCCGGCGGTGCGTTCGACGACCCGCTGGGCTCGCTCGGTGCGGTGCGCTCGTTATGTATAGGTCAGGCTGCCACACAAGCGCTTTGCGGGTGGCAGTGGCGGCTCGGACTGCGCGGCAGACCTGGGAATTATTGGACTTGGCCCGCCAGGTGGTCGATTTACTTTCGTGCGTTGAGGCGGTAGAAGGATATGTTTGGCAGAAGTGGGTATATATCACGTTGGGGTATTCCAGTGCAGTGGGATTTTCTGTTCTGTTAAAGTGGGGTGTATCACTACAGTGCGAGTGACACATGTGATAACTTGTTACTAGTGCCGTCACATTGCGGTCCGCCCCAGTGCGTCCTTCGCACATCCATTGCGTGGCAGCTGCAATGGGTGCCTTCACAGCAGGACACGGCGTCTCGCGTCTTCGTACCTCGCAGTAGGCTGTATTGCGCTGTGCCCTGTGGTATTGGTCGAGCGCGTCCTCCATAGCTATCTTCACAATACGGATAATCCTGTGCATCATTACAGAGGTGTCCCCAACACAGCCATACTGCGTCCTGCGTGCCTTCGCAATGAACCACCACAGTGCGTCCTCTGCACTGGCGCGGTGTGTCCTCCCCACTGTCACAATGTGACAGTGCGGCTCATCGTGCCTCACCAAGCATGCGACGCACCCTGAGGTTCCGTCACGCCCTCCCTCCCTCCCTCCCTCCCGCTGGGCCCCCGCACCGTGCCGGTGTGTCGCCCGCGTCTGGCCAGGGCGACGCACTGCAGGGCTGTAATGTGGCGACTGCAGGCTCGCGTGTGGCGGTGCCTAGTGTGCCTGACGCCTTCCAGCTTGTCTCCGCGGCACCGTCACAATCATGTGACGCACCAGGGTGCAGTATCAGTATACGGTAGCGTGACGCGTCACAGCACGGCGTCCGTCCGTCACGACGGTACACGACACGGTTTGTCCGCCCCGCCGTCACAGCCACGATACACACCAGTGTCGTCCGTCCGTCACACCGGAGCGCACCGCAAAGCGGCCTCCGTACCGTCGCAGTGTGGCGCACCCTAGTGCGACCTGCACACATCCACGGCGTCGTAGAACACGCCCTGCCCATGGCCACAGTGAGGCTCTTGGGCAGTCCCGCGCTGCGTGCGTCAGCGGCGGCGGCGGCGGCGGCGGCAGGCTGTGACAGAGCACTTTCTCGTGGGCAGATCATGTCGGCTATGAGTCCGCCTGGCGGCGGACGCAACTTCGTGACGCCGCGTTTCACGCGCCACTTCAACCTCATCAGCATCAACGAGTTCGACGACGAGACGATGAAGATCATCTTCTCGCGTATCATGCTGTGGCACCTGGACACTAGGTGGGCGTGCGATGGGCCGCCGGCCGGGCTGTGGCGATCTGCTGGCCCTAAGGGCGGCGGCCATGGGTGACAGATATGGATTTTCACTTGCTTACACTGCTTCGGGAGATCTACTGGCCAGAGTAGGGAATGTTTGGACACCGGAATAACGTTTCTGTGATACCAGGCTGCATCCCACAAGTTTTTCATGGGCATCTAACTAAAAGCTTATGCTTTTTATATCCTCACCGCCACCCAACTGTACAACGTCTGCGTGCTGTTATTTCAAAGCACATCTAGTTTTTCGCTCGGTGGTAACTCAGTTCCTACACTGTTTGTAAGCACGTGACGGCTCCACAAGCGGGCATGCAATACAAATGTGGCGCAATAAGAAAATGGTACAACTGTCATCGTGGGACTACATGTTGGATACCGTTCATAACAAAGCTGTTTAGTGGATTGGGCAGTGCCAAATATCAACCACATAAATGTGTTTCGTGCAGGCGGACGGGCACACGTGTAGCCCATGTAGCGCACCCTGATGAGCCGCCGGCAATGTTCCCGCGCACGTGTGATGAGATGCCCTACTCCCGTCTCACCGTCCCCCCCCCCTCTGGCCCACAGGGGGTTCGGGAAGGAGTTTGACCCGAGCATCGACCAGGTGGTGGGCGCCACGCTGACCGTCTACAAGACGGCCATGGAGAACCTGCTGCCGACGCCCAATAAGTCGCACTACCTCTTCAACCTGCGCGACTTCTCACGCGTCATGCAGGTGGGACACGGTCGTGGCAAAGTCAGGGGACGGCGACCTGTAGTTGCAGCATATGAACAACGTTATTAGTCATCATCATTGTGATCATCATGCGCTGTAATGGAATACATTGTGTACAAAACACTCTACAACCCTGTTTGTTGCGACTGATCACAGACATGCATCAAATCGTTTTCACAACATCGTTTTGAAACTAACGCAGCTTTACCATCCGCAAATATAACACTAGCTCCATAGTTCGCATGGAAGTGGATGGATCAGGACACATTATTTGCGTCTGGGCGTTTGGACGGGTCTGGAGGTGGCCGTTTGGTCTGGGGTTCGGCGTGGTCGGTCGGGACCTCACTGAGTCCACTCACACAGTCCGGCCGACGCCCCAGACAAGTGACGCCCCTCTGTCACTTTATACACTGCGGCATGCAAACACTGCATTCTGAACTAGGGCGTGACCAGAATTTTCTTTAGGGGGAAAGGACGGGAGGTCAGTGAGAGCTCATCACGTTGTTTGCTCAGTTTCTTTAGGAGTCATTCGCAGTGCCAAAAAGCGCGGGCTTAGGGGTCGGGGGGGGGGCTCCCCCCTTAGCTCTGCCTCTGTACCGGACCGTGAGATGCAGGTGCGCACTTGTCGGTCCCGCGATGCGGGCAGCTAGTGTCCAAGCCAGCACCAGCCATGCATGGACGGGTTTTCCCGCACCCGGACATCCTCTCCCTGCGTTCAGTGCATCAGAAACCGGTGCCATTGATGTAAGCACCTGTCAAAGCCTGCCGGCTCCAGACCGCGGCGGCCCCTTCTGCGAGCTGGCGCTGTCGTCCCGTGTCCCGTCGCCTGTGCCAGGCTCCTAGAAGGTAGCGTGTCTTCATCAAGTAGACGTCGGGGGGCGCTGTGCCCGTCGCTTCCGACCAAACCGCAGCTGGGGTCTCAACGTCGTGCCCGGTGCCGCTGTTCCCAGGGTGTGCTGCTGTCGGTGCCGGAGGCTGTGGAGGACCTGGCCAGCCTGAAGCGGCTCTGGGTGCACGAGGTGCTGCGAGTGTACTACGACAGGTACGGTAGGACCCGCGGTCTGAGGCTGATGGTCAGCCTAGGAGGCGCGGTCTGAGGCTGACGGTCCGCCTCGGAGGCGCGGTCTGAGGCTGACGGTCCGCCTCGGAGGCGCGGTTTGAGGCTGACGGTCCGCCTCGGAGGCGATGCGACAAAGGTTACGCTTCTCGATGCATTAAGGATCACGATCATCAGAGAAACACCTGTATGACGCTGGCTACCCGACAAAGGAGAGGAGGTGATATTTCAGTCAACAGTCTGACTCGCGCTCTTGGCTTCCATTCGTTACGTGACGGATGTTATGTGGGCACGCCCCTGGTCTGTTGGCCAAAACTTCCAGTTCGGCAATCACGAGCGATGCAGTGCCGGGTTTGGACTGCCATGGGAATAGACACGCGAGATGATGGTCCATTTTGTGTCCTGCTTTTACGTTAATGATGCATTCGTGCTCTGTGATTTATGAACAACGCCAGCGATACACGAATGCAAGACAAGATCCAGCTAATTTCTGCTGTGCTCTGGAAGCGAATGTTTTTGGGGGGACTAATGCGTCTTAGTGTCTCATGTGTTGAGATTTGCGACCTCGATCTTTCACATGGATAACACCTGCATTTGTACAGCTGTTCAACGCGTGACACGGCCAGGTCGTCACTACCGCTTCCACCCCGCCCAATCGGGTCTTGAGAAAGATGCACTGCGACTAGAGGCCCGCTTTCCGCTGACGACAGTGCGGTGTGGCGCCGGTGCGGTGTGTCCCACGCTGCGGGCGATGGGTTAACGCGCTGGTGCATAGTCCAAACCGAACACCAAACAGAGCTCGATTAGCACGCCGGGCAATAACTTTGTCCGGCGTGCACACCCAATCCAGCTCATCGGGCGGTGCTTCGGTGGCGTCACGCACACTTTGACAATGTTTTTGTGTGTTTGTGTGCACTGCGTCCGCGCTCGCCCGCGCCGCGGTGGGCGCCAGTGGGAACAATATGGCGCCTTCGCAGGCTGGTGGACGACGGTGACCGTGCCTGGCTGGTGGAACACCTGCGCCAGGTGGCCAAGGACAACCTGGAGGACGACTTCGACGAGCTGCTGATCCGGCTGGACTCGGACGCCGACGGCAAGGTGGGGGGAGTGGCAGCTACGCGGCGGCAGGTGCATAGCTTACCCAAGGGAAGACCGCAAGGCGGAAGAGTGCCACTGAGCCTCATCAACACTCATTCGGGGAGGGTCGCCTGCAAGTGGACCGTGACTGTCGGACATACGCGCCGCCTGTCGCTGTCACACAAAGCCGTACTGAAGGACGGCATGGTTCATCACCTAGAACAAGCCCCTCATTAGCCCCTCAATGAGCCTCTCAGGCTCATTATGCCTAAGAGCCAGCAACCGAATGCCTTTCCTACCATATCAAGAAAAAACCAGCGGCGCCGGTTTGGCTAGCCGTTTGACGTTCGAGCTCCGTTGGTATGGCTGGCTCATTGACGTTCGAGCTCTGGTGACGGGCTGGCCGCCTGACGTTCGAGCTCTAGTTACGGGCTGGAATGAGGAGCGGTCATGACTCACTGATCTGACTTCATTCCGAGCCCGGACTCGGGGGCGATCTTTTCGTTTTGTGCTCTGGTGGCAAGACTGACTGATGGGGCTGTGATTTGGTGGTGGGAGGGAAGGTTCTATGCGGACTTGAAGAAGTCAGACCGGCAGACGCAGGTTTGTCAGACTATCAGGCTCGTGGTAGTGGGACCTTGAATGATTTGCAGCCCGTGCAAGCTGGACATTAGGGTTTCCCTCGCACTTGGAGGTGCTGGGAGTTGCACTGAGGGCGCAGTGACCTGGTGGAAAAGCCACAGCCGCCCTAGCGACACCGTGATCCGCAGAGTCGTGACACCAACGTCGCGCTTCTCTCCTCAGCGGCCGCCGCGGCCGGACGCCGTCCTGGCCGGCGGCGCCAGCGGACGCTCCGGCTCCACCCCCTGACGCCGCGCCCTGCCGCCAGGTGACCGAGAACGACCTGCGCGCGCTGATGTACTGCGACTTCTCCGACCCCAAGGCCGACCCGCGCAACTACATGGAGATCGAGGACCTCGACTACCTCCGCAATGTCGTCGACGGCTACCTGATCGAGTACAACAACATGAGCAAGAAGCCCATGAACCTGGTGCTGTTCCAGTTCGCCATCGAGCACCTGTCGCGTGTGGCGCGCGTACTGAAGCAGCCGCGTGGCCACGCGCTGCTCGTGGGCGTCGGCGGCTCGGGCCGACAGTCGCTGACGCGGCTGGCCGCCCACATCTGCGACTGCGACCTGTTCCAGGTCAGCCTGCGACCCGGGCCGGGCGGTGGGCGGGTGGGTCGTTCCAAGCGAGTGGGTGCTGGCGAGATCGCTGCGCGGTAATGTGTGACTGTGAACTCACCCAGGTCAACGAATTTTGTCAGAGGGGCCCAGTCCAGGTGATCGTTGTGAGGGGGGGGGGGATCTTCAGGTCGATGTGAGGAGACACATGCCGGATTGGGGTGCGGCAGGGGCTTGTTCTAGGTGTTTCGCAGGTCGCCAGGCCCAGCTCGGCTGGCTTCATCCGTCCAAAGTCGATGTGTTGGCGTTCACGGGCGCCTGGCAACGCTGCTCGTAAGGGCAGACGGTGCTGCACGAAATTGCCATTCTGGACGAACGTTTGGTGCACGTTGGGGACTGGCGGACTTCAGCCTGGATAATTAGCGTGCTTGCCTTCTCGAGCTTACCAGCTACCCGTGCTCTGCACGACATTCAGCGCGCTGCCGTGGCCATATGCCATGGCGTCGAGGTTGGCGGGTTGTTTTGTGTTTCCTTACTGCGAGGTAACCAGCTTTGTTGCCTCGCCCTGGAGCCCAGCGTGGATTATTGCCTACGGACCTGACCCCGACAGCGGCCGGCGCCCAGGCCGGTGGGCCCGGAGGGGCCGCCTCTGCGTCTCTGTCGTGGTGGACTGTGCGGCTGGTGTGCGACGCTGCGCGACGCGGCGCGCTCCGCTGATGTTGGCGCTCCGTTGGCGCGGTCCGTCCGCAGGTGGAGATATCCAAGACGTACGGCAAGAACGAGTGGCTGGACGACCTGCGCAGCACGCTGAGCAAGGCCGGCTTTGGCGAGCGACACTCGGTGTTCCTGTTCACCGACACGCAGGTGAGGTGGAGTGTGGACTGAACAGCCCAACCAGGCGTGCATGTCTGCTACCAGACACAATAGGCTCGCAGGTGGGCATAGGGAAGTTGTGGGAAGAGAGATGACTGTTCTAACGTAGTCTTGTATCACGTTTCTGAATGTGGTGAGATGTCGGATTTCACGCTCCATGTAAGGTCGGGCCCTGGTAAGGTCCCTGGCCGCTGACAAGGGGCTGACCCGTCAGATCAAAGAAGAGTCGATGGTGGAGGACCTGAACAACATCCTGAACGCCGGCGAGGTGCCCAACCTGTTCGCGCTCGAGGACAAGATCGAGATTTGCGAGAAAATGCGCGTGATCGACCGACAGCGTGACAAGTCGATGCAGGTGCGTACGAGAGCGCCGCGCGCGCCTCCAGCACACGGCACAGTGCGGCCGCGACCGTGTGACCCCGGCCGCCCTGACCGGGGGTGGCTTGGGCTGGGAGAGCAGGCTTCGTCATGTCACTGCAGGTGAGCACCTGCAAGGGGCTGTGCCATTCGAAGCCAGCGTGCAGGTCCTGTGAGGCGGACTCTGCGCTGGCGGCGCTCGCCCCGCGCCCGGCGGCGTCCACTGTGTACGCCCCGCGGCGGTATCTGACCTCGCGCCGCTGCCGCCAGACGGACGGCAGCTACGTGGCGCTGTTCAACATGTTCGTGGAGCGGGTTCGGGACCAGCTGCACGTGGTGATGGCGTTCTCGCCGATCGGCGACGCGTTCCGCGATCGGCTGCGTCGCTTCCCGGCCATCGTCAACTGCTGCACCATTGACTGGTTCCAGGTCGGCGGAGGGTCGGCTCCGCTCAGGAGCACCTTAGGTCGTCTGCTAACCGTTAAAAGTCCAGCGTCAAGCAGTGCAAGCTGCTAAACAATAGATCTTGAAAACACAGGTCCCATAGTCATCAACGGCCAGCTGTATGTCCTCGCTCCAGTGGAATTCGTCAGTAACTCCCGCCGATTGCGAGCAGAGGCTTTGTGAGTGCCTGCGTCTCGTGCGTCGGCGCTGACTCGCCGCCTCGGCCGTGACCATCCGCCCCGGCTGTGACCCCGCCGCGCCGACCGTGACCCCACCGCCCCGGCCGTGACCCCGCCGCGCCGGCCGTGACCATCCGCCCCGGCCGTGACCCCGCCGCGCCGGCCGTGACCCCACCGCCCCGGCCGTGACCCCCGCCGCGCCGGCCGTGACCCCACCGCCCCGGCCGTGACCCCGCCGCGCCGATCGTGACCCCGCCGCGCCGACCGTGACCCCGCCGCGCCGGTCGTGACCCCGCCGCCCCGCACGTGACCCACCTCTGCCGGACAGCCGTGGCCGACCGACGCGCTGGAGGCGGTGGCCACTCAGTTCCTGGCCGAGGTAGCCATGTCGGAGGAGGAGCGCGCCGGCTGCATCCACCTCTGCCAGTACTTCCACACGTCCACCGAGGACCTCTCCAAGCGCTTCCTGGAGCTGACACGCCGACACAACTACGTCACCCCCACGTCTTACCTCGAGCTCATCGCCACCTACAAGACACTGCTCGACAAACGCAGAAAGTGAGCGCATAAATCTTTGCTGGGGTCGGGGCCTGGTACACGGCCGAAATAGCGTGATATGTGTTCCGAGTTTAAGTCACAGAGGGCTAGCAAGAGACTTGATACATTGTCATACACAATTCCATGGACACCATCGTTGTTAGTATACTGTTGATGACGTTTGCTGAACCTTTTAGCCCATACCCCACTAGCAAACACTGTTGGTGTGATCGATGACCGTCCCTGAAATGGATGCAAGGAGCTTTATATGTTTCTGAACGGTGGAGCGATCATGAAGCTCTAGTTAAGGTATTGACCGTCGGCGCCGTCCTGCTCACGTTCGCCCCGCCTGGCGCACAGGGAGGTGCTTAATCAAAAGTCGCGCTACGAGGTGGGCCTGGAAAAACTGGCCAACGCCGCCTCCGAGATCAGTGTCATGCAGAAGGACCTGACCGACCTGCAGCCGCAGCTGGTGGAGGCCTCCAAGCAGGTGAGCCGCCGGCCCAGCGGCACGCGCTCGCGCTCTCGCCCGGAGCCGTGACATGATGTGCTGGCGGCCCTCTGGCTGGGCCGGCAGCGGCGCCGTGCGGCCTAGTCTGGTGCCAGTGCCGCGGTGCACGTCGCATAAGGGTGTTGGGGACAGCCTGTGGTGGCAGTGATATCGGGCGCTCAGCGCCACCTTTCAGTCGTTCGGCTAATTACAGGTTCGGGAGACTGCCACAATCCCGGGCAATAAGTTCGCGGTCACAGTTATTTTGAAGCTTGCTCCGTTGTGCCGATGTTTGTTGCTTGATCTTGTCGGTTGCGCGATGCTTAAAGCATAGGTCACGTTATGAGTGCCTTCAGCCGAAAACAATTCCCTGATGAGCTCTCCCTAGCGCCCTTAAGACAGCAGTACCGAAACCTGCCATATGCATGTGCACGCAGTGCTTGTTTGACCGTACGTTGTGCCGGTTCCACCCTTGTTCGACGCACCCGAGTCGGCTCTTCCCTGACGTCCCTGAGTCGACTGGTCTCTGGCGAACCCGACTCGGTTCGTCCTTGGTGTGCCCGAGTCGGCTCTTCCCCGACGTCCCTGAGTCGGCTGGTCTTTGGCGAACCCGAGTCGGCTCGTCCTTGGTGTACCCGAGTCGGCTCTTCCCTGGCGTCCCTGAGTCGGCTGGTCTCTGGCGAACCCGAGTCGGCTTGTCCTTGGTGTACCCGAGTCGGCTCACCCCCAACGTCCCGAGTCGGCTCGTCCCTGACGTCCCGGAGTCGGCTAGTCTGTCCGTGACTCGACTCGTCCCTGATGTCCCTGATTCGGTTCGTCCCTGACGTCCACAAGTCGGCTTGTTCCTGGCCTCCCTGAGTCGGCTTATCTCTGACGTCCCTGATTTTGCTCATCCCTAGCGTCCCTGGTTCAGCTTATCTGATGCACACCTATCCTGGCTCCAGGTGGACGAGATCATGCTGCAGGTGGAGAAGGACTCTGTGGAGGTGGCCGAGGTGGAGCGGGTCGTCAAGGGCGATGAGGCCGTGGCCAACGAGCAGGCGCGCGCCGCCCAGGCCATCAAAGGTTGACCGGGCACTTCTCTGTTTCGTCTCTGTTCTGCAGAGCGTGGGGTGACTCTGAGCTCAGACTGATGCCACTGGCGAGCGGTTGAGGCCGTGTTACGACTAGACCGTACCTACGTAGAGAGGGATATGCAGCAGATTGTAAATTACTATGGGACGCCCCATGCGTGCGGCACGCCGCACGCATGGGGCGTCCCACAGTAATTTACATTTAGCAGAAGGGTTCAGTGGTGCATGGGTCGCATAAGTTGTAAGTAGATATCTGCACACCTGATTACGGCAACTGGTAGATGTCAGCATGGTACACCAACAACAGTAAAAAGGGATGTTGTTGACACGCCATTGTTTCATCCGAGTGTGGCTGACACTCAAGTGAGCCGGGTGTCGGAGAACATCAACACAACTGGCTTCCCATTCTGATCATATGGAAAACACGGTTTCAGAGAATGCATGGTATGACATATGATCGTGAAGAATGGCATATGATCTTATGGTTTCGTAGAGCAGCAGCGCGGAATGTCGTCAATTCTGATCTCAAATTACCAGCTTGCGACTTTAGTGTCGGATGTGTCAGCGGTTTACAGTCCGGGTGAAACCGACTTTGGTCGAGTGCTAAATGTAACTAACATCGATGTCCTGAAGTGTAGTACCGTCACCAAGCCGTATTCTCGGTTGCCTGCCGTGCGCCTAACTCTGTGACGGGGCTGGGCGGCAGACGAGTGTGACGCTGACCTGGCGGAGGCCATGCCCATCCTGGAGTCGGCGCTCAGCGCGCTCAACACGCTCACGCCCAACGACATCACGCTGGTCAAGTCGATGAAGAGCCCGCCGGCCGGCGTCCGTCTCGTGATGGAGGCCATATGCATCGTCAAGGTGGGGTCGCGCGCGTCGACGAGGGCGCGCGGGGTAGACGAGGCGGCAGGTGAAGTGGTGCTGCTGGCCAAACCACGGTGGCCGCCAGCAGTGCCGCCTCGTCTGGTGCGGCGCTCGGGGATGTCTGACGACGCGGAGCGGCCGTCGGGGAGTGATCTCTTTACTCGTAGCGGGGAAAGTCGCGGAACCAACTTCAGAAATCTAGCGTGAATTAGGATATTGTCCCCACCCAGAGTCTCGTGTTGATTAAGAACGCAGGACGTCCGTGCACTAATGTGTCTGACAGATAAAGCCATGCGCTCATGGTGTCATTTCGCCATCTTGGGGTGAACTAAAAATGGTCACTGATTGGGACCTTTATGCCAGCGTTTTTGCGTGAAATTGAGCGCCTCGAGCATGGTCTGGCATGTGGACGGCGCCTGAGTGTCTGTCGACCATCGGCCGCTGGTAGCCAGCTGGGCCCATGTTGACCTGACCCGGCGCTGACGCTCTCGGCGTTCGTCCTGGTCAGGGCGTCAAGGCCGACAGGATCCCGGACCCGAACGGCAGCGGCAAGATGGTGGAGGACTACTGGGGACCCTCCAAGAAGCTGCTGGCCGACACCAAGTTCCTGGACGGCCTCATCAACTTCGACAAGGACAACATCCCGCCCAAGGTGATCAAGGTGCTGCGCGAGCGCTTCGTCTCCAACCCCGAGTTCGACCCCAACAAGGTGAAGACGGCCTCGACTGCAGCTGAGGGTGAGTGGTGTTGGCGCTCCGACCAAACCGGTCATCTCCCAGCCACACTGTTGCAACATGACACATCTCTGTAACGTCGAGCCCTGTTAAGTCGTGCAGTATTCTTTTAACGATTTGTGAAATCGTTTGTATTTGCATGGTGAATAGCTCAGTAGTGCATCACGGATATTCGGGGTCCAACTAACGACTGTTACAGCACGTACTTAGCGTGGTATTTCCTGCATGCTTGTGTAGTATTGAACGTAGGGTGGTGCGCGCTGCCCATACGTGCACCCGCTGACGCCATGGCCGCGCGGTGCTGGTCAGGCCTGTGCCGCTGGGTGATCGCCATGGAGGCGTACGACAAGGTGGCCAAGGTAGTAGGGCCGAAGAAAGAGGCGCTGGGCAAGGCCGAGGGCGAGCTGGCCGAGGCCATGGGCAAGCTGGAGGCCAAGCGGGCCTCGCTGCGCACCGTCCAGGAGCGCCTGCAGGAGCTGGAGAACAAGCTGGAGGCCAACAAGCAGCGCAAGGTCGACCTCGAAAACGAGGTACGGACGCCGCCCGGCCGACTGGGCGCCGCTGGACTCGTGTCGTGGCGGGTAGGGCGAGAAGAGGATGTAGGAGCCTGTTGCGTCGGCCAGACTTCAGTTTGGTTGTACGGTTTTGCGGAGTTGAGTGTATGAATGTTGTGTGCGTGGCATGAGCTTTGCGAGCCATCCGAGACTTCAGTTGAATTTAGTGTTGATCATGAGACCGCGCCAGTTTCAAGTCACGTCTCAAGTGACATATACCTCAGCTGTTATAAGTTACAACGTCTCAAGTGAAATCAACCCTTGCTGCTGTAAGCAGGTTTTGTCACTGGCGGGGGCTGCTCTCGCCTAGATTCAGCATTGTGAGCATGTTTGCCGGCCGGGGGCGGCTGTGCACAGACCAGACAGGCCCGTGATACTGCTGCCCGTCCAGGTGGAGCTGTGCCAGCTGAAACTGGAGCGGGCTGAGCAGCTGATCGGCGGACTGGGCGGAGAGAAGGACCGCTGGAGCTCCACGGCCGTCAACCTGGGCAAGAAGTACGAGAACCTCACTGGTACGTGCCGCGTGGCGGTCTCCTCCGCAGAGTGTCATGTGCGGCTGCTGTCTCGGGTGGGGAGTGGGGTGTGGGGGTGGGTGTGAGGGGTGGGTGTGGGGGGTGGGGGGGGGGGGGGTGTGGGAGGGGGGTGGGTGGGGGGTGGGGGGGGGTGGGGGGGGGGGGTGGGGGTGGGAGTGGGCGTTGGGGTGTGGCTTGGTGGGGTGTGGTGGTTGTTGTGGGGTGGGGGGTGGGGTGTAGGGTTGGGGGTGGGAGTGGGAGGGGAGTGGGGGTGGGAGGGGGGTGGGGGTTGAGGGTGGGGTGGGGGTGGTGGGGGTGGGGGTGGGGGTGGGGGTGGGGAGTGGAGTGGGGGTGTGGGGGAGTGGGGGGTGGGGGGTGAGGGTGGGGGGTGGGGGGGGGGTGGTGGGGGTGGGGTGGGGGGTGGGGGTGGGGGGGGGGGGGCCTCTTGACGGCACATGATGGCTGTGCTCCAGCGTGTGCGTGTAGCTACCGTCGCCGTATTCCGCTGCGCTGTTCTGCGCCACACCGCCGCCCGACACCGTTGACGTCGCCGCCTGCCGCCGCCGGGCAGTAACGACCCGCCCCGGGCGATAACTGCCCCCGGCTGAGCGGACCGGCGCCGCCCACAGGCGACATCCTGATCGCGTCTGGCGTGGTGGCGTACCTGGGCGCCTTCACGTCCCAGTACCGGGCCGAGCAGGTGCAGGGCTGGATAGACGGCTGCGTGGACCGGGCCATCACGTGCAGCCCCGAGTTTGAGCTCAGCCTGGTGCTCGGCAACCCGGTGGAGATCCGCGCCTGGAACATTCACGGCCTGCCCACTGACCTCTACTCGGTCGACAACGGCGTCATCATGAAGTGAGCCCCGGCTGGACTGGCGGCGGTCGGGCCGAGGCCAGACTGCGGCGCTCTGTGCCGCCTTGCCAGGCTTGGGGCGTGTGCCGCGTGAATTGCTTTCGTGTTGATTGGGTGGGATAATCCTTCGAGAATGAGCCAGTTTCATTGATCTTACGGCGTCGTGATGTGCCTCCATTAGGAAGTTAATCATGAAAGTGTTCCAGTCCGCGGGATGAGTGTTGTGTAGTTACTACGCGGGTACGGTGTGAGGTAAGAAGCTCTGAGAGTTCATTGCTTTGAAAACCGATCACATCTCGTTCAGGAGTGCGTAGAAAAATGGCACGCGCAGGTAACCTTCGGGGACATGACTTGCTGTTACTGCTTGTCATAGCGTTGCTTTAGATAATGTAACGTTGTGTTTTTCCTGCCATGCACACTTTTCGGTGACGTACTGAAGGGCTTGCAAAAGGTCAGCAACGTTTTCATATGAGCGCTTACAAGCGTCGCCAAACAGTGGGAGAGGCGGGCTGGCTGCCCTTGGTTACGACCAGTAGGACCGCGTGCCACTGACAGGACAGGACAGGACAGGACAGGACAGGACAGGACAGGACAGGACAGGACAGGACAGGACAGGACAGGACAGGACAGGACAGGACGGGACAGTCTAACTGACCTCTGTGACGGCTGGCAGGAACGCGCGCCGCTGGCCGCTCATGATCGACCCGGAGGGCCAGGCCAACAAGTGGATCCGCAACACGGAGAAGGCCAACCAGCTGCACGTGGCCAAAGGCAACGACACCGACTTCGTCCGCTCGCTGGAGAACGCCATCCAGTTCGGGAACCCGGTTTGTGGGCAGACGGCGCCCGGTCGCGCTGAGCCGCCGCGCCGATGGAGGGACTGCCGCCGGAGACACGGGCATAGTTGGCGGAGTGATTCAAGGGAGTGCTCCGTCTGTGGGCTATGTTTCAAGAACGTACTCAGGTGAAACCTCAGGACAATTTACGTTGCATAATAATGCTGGGTTGTGTCACTGCAGCCCCGTGAAGATGTGATAAGAATATAGATTTTAATTATTTTCCAGTCTAAATTACGCTGTCGCTTTGCTTTGCAACAGTGTTATACCTTTTCCTTTCTTGGTAGCCACAGAGTATATCCTGCGCCCGTGACAACTGCGGTTGTGAGCGCCTTCGTCATGACGACCGCCCTCGTCATGACAGTAGAATCTGCTGGGAGCTGGTGTCAGGTGCTGGGGGGGGGGGGGGGGGGGGCTTACCACCTTCGAGCTCCTTTAACCCGTACATTGCGGGCCTGAGGTCTGAGTGCCGTGATGGCCAATAACATAATGATAGAGTCTAAGAAGATTTCGGCGGTTGCTGTTGCCGCTGGCAACCTAATACCGCCCTATCGTTCAGGTGCTGTTGGAAAACATCGGCGAGGAGCTGGACCCGATGCTGGAGCCGCTGCTGCTCAAGCAGACGTTCAAACAGGCGGGCGCCATCTGCATCAAGCTGGGGGACTCGGTGCTTGAGTACTCGCCGGATTTCAGGTGCGGCCAACCGGGCAGTAGCGTCTTGTGAAATCAACGCACCGGCGTCCGTCCTGAAGTACCAATTTGGTCAGGCGGCCGGTCTGGCCTCGCCTCTTGTGGCCCGCGGCGGGGACGAGCCGGCCGATGGCGCACTTTGACCTGGCGTTTGTGCGTGCGTGCGCGCGTGCGTGCGCGCGTGCGTGCGCGTGCATGTGTGCGTGTGCGTGTGCGTGTGCGTGTGCGTGCGTGCGTGCGTGCGTGCGTGCGTGTGTTTGTGCACGCGTATGCGCGCGCAGGTGCTTGCTTACGTGCGTGTGTGCGTGCGTGCGTGTTGCTGCTCGTGAACGCTGGGGGAGATACGTGGATTGCAGACTGTTAGACTGATGCTCTGTACAACATTATCATCCCGATGCAGCGATCACCTCCCGCTCCTGAGAAGACGTTGTGCATATCCTCGTGCTACATGAGGTGGCTGTGTTCGTTCTCCATAACGACAAGAAGCAAGAAGCTGCTGTATCTATCCGTTGCGCGGATGTCATTGCAGACGTGGAAGTTCAGCTGGTCTTATGAAGCCTCGAGCGCCTAACCAGGCATCATGGAGTGCTGCCGTGGGGCGCTGCTGTTGCAGCAGCTGCTGCGCTCGCCGTGTAGGCATTTGCCTTTGTTGGCGTATCGGCTGGACACATCCTGCCCTCGCACGGAGATATCAAACCCCGGCTGACACCGCGCTGGGCCTGCCTCACATGCATCGACTCCCCGCACACAAACACCGTGCGCCGCCCCACCGCCGCCTGGGCCCGCGGCGCGACGGCTGGTGACGCGCGCCGCCCCGCCGCCAGGTTCTACATGACGACAAAGCTGCGGAACCCGCACTACCTGCCCGAGATCGCCGTCAAGGTGACGCTGCTCAACTTCGGCATCACGCTGGCCGGCCTGCAGGACCAGCTGCTGGGCACGGTCGTGTCGCGCGAGAAGCCCGACCTCGAGGAGGAGCGCAGTCAGCTGATCGTGCAGTCGGCTGACAACCAGAGGTCGGCGCCGGAACGGCAGCGGGTGGGGTGGAGGCAGGGGTCGGTAGCGAGCGGCACGTGCAGCCACCGTTGCTTAGAAAACGCGGAAGGTGCGTGGTGCACGCTGCCGAATGAAGAATGCAGCGCGGACTTAGGATAGGGCTGAGCTCGTGCTGTAAGATTATGCTATGGCTAACCTGGCCTTGACCGTGCTCATCCTATCGCGTTCGCCACAACCATGCTTCGCAACAGTGCGTCGGCCGCAATACAAGCACTGTTTGCGCCTCCCGGGGGCGTGTAGCCGTGCTGCGGCGTTGGTGAGCTCCCGACTCTGGTCACAGGCAGCTGAAGGAGATCGAGGACAAGATTCTGGAGGTGCTGTCCACTTCGGAGGGTAACATCCTCGAGGACGAGACGGCCATCAAGGTGCTCAGCTCGTCCAAGCTACTCAGCAACGAGATCGCCGAAAAGCAGCAAGTGGCCGAGGAGACGCAAATGAAGATCAACGCGGCTCGTATGGGCTATACGCCCATTGCCAAGCACTCGTCCATCCTCTTCTTCAGCATTACCGACATGGGCTGCATCGACCCCATGTACCAGTACTCGCTCGGCTGGTTCTTCGGCCTGTTCGTCAGCAGCATCGACAACACGGAGAAGGCCGAGGACCTGGAGAAGCGGCTGTTTATCCTGCAGGACCACTTCACCTACTCGCTGTACACCAACGTGTGCCGCAGTCTGTTTGAGAAGGCACGTTGTGTACGGGAGAGAGACGGGGAGGGCGGGAAAGCGTCTTCTGTGGTTAGACTGTACCGCATGGCACCGCGGTATGGCGGGTCAGGCCTGGGCGCGCACTAGCAGGGCTCGGATGTACACCGACCATGCCTTCGCTCTCCGCCCGACCGGGTGGCCCGACCGTGCCTTCGCTTTCCATCTGACCGTGTACCCCGACCATGCCTTCGCTCTCCGCCTGACTTTGTGGCCCAACCATGGCCTCGCTCTCCGCCTGACCGTGTGACCCGACCATGCCCTCGCTCTCCGCCTGACCGTGTGGCCCGACCATGCCCTCGCTCTCCTTCTGACCGTGTACTCTAGCCACGCCCTCGCCCTCCGTCCGGCCCAAGTCTCGGTCCCGCCCAGTCGTCGCTGGGCTGGACTGACCGTGCGGCCGGTCCGTCGGCGGCAGGACAAGCTGCTCTTCTCCATGCTGCTGGCCATCAACCTCCTGCGCGCGCGCGGCGAACTGGACGAGGCCGAGTGGATGTTCCTACTGACGGGCGGCGTCGGCCTGGACAACCCCAACAAGAACCCCACCACCTGGCTGCCGCCCAAGAACTGGGACGAGTTCTGCCGGCTCGCCCAGCTTCCCACGTTTGCCGTGAGTCGTCGGCCAGCCGGGTGGCCGGACAGCATGAGCCTGCTGAAATCTTGCAACCCCCGGCAACCGGGTGAGCTAGTGCCGGATGTATGTAGAGATAACTCTTCAGTGGCGCGCTACCATTGAGATACCCGCAGCACCCGTAGCTCAGCCGACTGGGGCGTCCGCCTCCCGGACTACCCGTGGCATGGGTGGGTCGGTTCGAGTCGCTTCGGGGCTCGCTGTTTGCTCCTGGCCGGGATGGCGTGCGGCCGGTGGCAGCGACTGCTGGCGTTCAGATGGGGTCAGAAGGGAGGGCTGAGGACGTCAGGCGCACTGCAGCACGTCAGAGCTTCTTCACATAATTTTGTCTTTCTTCTGGAATTCCGCTATCGGGTGGTGGGGCCAGGATGCATGCAACAAGCACTGCTTACCGTGACCTCAGGTCCGATAAATCCACCCCATCAAAATGTTGGGGCTGGATGTGTCGTGCTGGGCGTGTCTGTACCCTGCTGACGATGGTATGGACGGATGTGGTGCTCCGCGCTGCCTGTGCTTGTGGTCGGTCGTCGTGAGACCGGAGCGCGCGCAGGCCAAGTTGTATGGTGGCTGTCAAACGTATCATTAGAGCGGACCGGTTTGGAAATCGGCGCCTTTTTATCAAGTAGGATAAAGAGATCAGGAAAGAATCATCAGGAAATCAGGTGGATAGTGCCGCTCAAAACTATGTGTACTAAGTGATTGCTTTGTAATTGGAGGTCGTGTTCTGGTCCCAGAAGCTGCGACGAATGCATGTACGCCCGCTGGCTTTCCATTGCTTTCTCGCCCCGCCTTGTGATAATGACCAGCAGTGTGAGCCACTGCCAGCACGCTGCCTTTCTCCCCGTCGCCATCCCCGTACAGCGTGCCACGACATCTGGACCCGGCCGGCCGGCAGGGCATTCGCGAGGAGTTCGAGGCGAACACGGCGCCGTGGAAGGCCATCTTCGACAGCGTGGCGCCGCAGAGTGAGACGCTGCCCGGCCACTGGAGCAAGCTCATCACGCTGGAGCGCATGTGCATCCTGCGCTGCCTGCGGCCCGACAAGATGGTGCCGGCCGTGCAGGCGTTCGTGTCGGGTGAGCTGGCGCCGGCGCTGTAGTCGGTCGTGCTGTCCGTGGCCTGGTGCCGGCCTCGGCCGCTCTGGTGAGGCGCCGGCCTAGTGGTATGCTTCATTTGCCGGTGGGCGCGGTTTCTGGCGGGCGATTTCTGCTGTTAGGTGGTGGTCTCAGCGATGCGATGCCTAGTTGTGTGGGAGCCTGCGGTGTCCATGTGTGCTTGCGCAGAACCAGACTACCCGACCCTGCATCGGTGAGGGCTGGTAGGCGCGAAGCAGACACGGGAACGGTCAGACTGGCCGTACTGACCTGTGCAGTATGTGGCTACTGAGACGCAGCCCTTCCGTGGGTACGCCGCCGGCCTTTGACGCCCTCCACGGCCATCTGCCCCGGCATCGGCGGAGCCCTGCGCGCAGCTGCCCGCCCGGCCCCCTGACGCCGGCGCGTCCCTGTCCGGGCAGAGTGTCTGGACCACCGGTTCATCGAGCCGCCACCGTTCGACCTGGCCAAGTCGTTCGCCGACTCCCACTGCTGCGCGTCGCTGATCTTCGTGCTGACGCCGGGCGCCGACCCCACGGCCGTGTTGCTCAAGTTTGGCGACGACATGGTGAGCACGGCTGCCGGCCGCCGGCTCCGGCCGCGGCTGACGGCGGCCAGCCGCCCACTCCGCCCGCGGCTGACGGCGGCCGGCCGCCGGCTCCGGCCGCGGCTGACGGCGGCCAGCCGCCCTCTCCGGCCGCGGCTGACAGCGGCCGGCCGCCCACTCCGGCCGCGGCTGACGGCGGCCAGCCGCCCTCTCCGGCCGCGGCTGACAGCGGCCGGCCGCCCACTCCGCCCGCGGCTCACGGCGGCCGGCCGCCCTCTCCGGGCGCGGCTGACGGTGGCCAGCCGCCCTCTCCGGCCGCGGCTGACGGTGGCCGGCCGCCCGTTCCGGCCGCGACTAACGGCGGCCAGCCGCCCGCTCCGGCCGCGGCTGACAGCGGCCGGCCGCCCGCTCCGGCCGCGACTGACAGCGGCCGGCCGCCCGCTCCGGCCGCGGCTGACGGTGGCCAGCCGCCCGCTCCGGCCGCGGCTGACAGCGGCCGGCCGCCCGCTCCGGCCGCGGCTGACAGCGGCCGGCCGCCCGCTCCGGCCGCGGCTGACGGCGGCCGGCCGCCCGCTCCGGCCGCGGCTGACGGCGGCCGGCCGCCCGCTCCGGCCGCGGCTGAAGGCGGCCGCGCCGTCGGCACGGCACGGACTGGTGGGGGTTTAGGTAATACGTCACGGATGGGGAGCGAGGTTGTGAACAGTGGACAAGTGCTGGACTCACGTCGCTTATTGCAGCAGCGCATGTAGAGCGATCATGCCGAGAATTCAGGAAGCTAAAAACAATGAGTAGAAAAAGGACAGGCTCATGAAGAGCGACGTCACAAACGTGGAACGTCAATGCGGCATGTTCAGTTCGCGTGAGGATAAGGTGTCGGTGCTCCTGATGTGATCCGCCTTTTTCTTCTTCAAAAATGTTCACTAATATCTGGACGGCATCGGTGGTTATCCGTGCTGCCTCTGCCGAGACACATGCCTGGCATAAAAGGATACGCAACGAGCTATCGTTGGCTGCGACCCGCTGCTCTGCATCGCTCCGGCGGTCGGCCGTCTCCCTCGCTCCGACCGCGACATTGCCGTGTCCGCCGCCTCGGGCGCCGGCAGGGCTTCAGCGGGCCGAAGCTGCAGTCGCTGTCGCTTGGCCAGGGTCAGGGCCCCATCGCCATGCGGCTGGTGGAGGACGGCGTCAAAAACGGCACCTGGGTCGTGCTGCAGAACTGCCACCTCGCCAAGTCGTGGATGCCCTCCCTGGAGAAGGTCTGTGATTGCGACGAGCCGCCGGACCCGCGCGCTGCGGGCGGTGATCTCTGGCAATGTTGTCCGGGCGACACTGTGTCTTGCTGTAGCTGCCGCCATGTGTACGTCTCCGGTCCATGGGTACGTGGATCCTTACTGTGATTGTGGCATGTCATGGTGCTACTATAAACAAAAAGTATACATTGAGCTGGAACGCGATGGCTCGAACAGAGTCGCTGGCACGTGTGTCGTCGTCGTCTGCCGCTGGCCTGAGTGGGCCAGCAGCGGGAGCCGCGCTGCTCCAGCTGCGACCGCGGCCCTGTGTGTGGAGCCGGTGTGGTGACCGGGCCGGCCGTCCGCCGCAGGCGTGTGAGGAGCTTAGCCCTGTGTGTGGAGCCGGTATGGTGACCCGGCCGGCCGTCCGCCGCAGGTGTGTGAAGAGCTTAGCCCGGACACTACACACCCGGACTTCCGGCTGTGGCTCACCTCGTACCCGGCCGACCACTTCCCGGTGGCCGTGCTGCAGAACGGCGTCAAGATCACCAATGAGCCGCCCAAGGGACTGCGCGCTAACGTCAAACGGTGGGCACCCTGGGCTGGCGCGCGTCACCCCAGTCACCGCACGCCGACGCACGAGCGCCCCGCTGGTGACGGCGAACGCTGAGATCGACGCAGACCTTTTGGATGGGCGCCTGTGGATGACGATTTCGCGACCATGCTTGGATTCTGTCGCGGTGTTGTGTTCAGATTTAAGCATTGTTCAGTCGGACTGTGGCCATTGGCTCCGCCGAGACGTTGCGCGCATGCTGACCACAAAGTTGTCCCGCTGACCGTAATGAGAAGAGTTAGATTGCACGCTCCTCACCAAATGCCGAGCCGTATTACACCCGGCGACGTGGCGTCCTCGAGGCCTTGCAGCGGCTGTGCGGTGTGGTGGACAGGCCGTACCTGAGTGACCCGACCGGCTGTGCTGTGTGATGGACAGGTCGTACCTGAGTGACCCGATCGTCGACCCCTCCTTCTTCGGCGAGTCGAAGAGTCCGACCCATTTCAAGGCGCTCCTCTACAGTCTCTGCTTCTTCCACGCACTCAGTGGGTACACTATTGTTTTGCATTGCCAATAGCTGTGTTGTAAATGCTTATCCCGGCTCTGTCTGCATCGTTAATGTGGTACTCTGCTCAGCGGGTGTAACCTGCGTGCACTGCTTCCTGGCTTTGAGTGGCATATTGTTAGATGTGACATTTTTGCGTTATTGGGTTGGCTGATGAGCAGCACTTCGCATTACCATGACGTTACGTGTTATTCGGCAGACCTTTTTCAGTCACGTCTTGAGGCCACGATTGCATCTGCGAGAACCAATGATGTATGTCATACTGCTGGTCAAAACATCTTCGTTTCACAAAACAACTCACAAGCCACGCCTACAAAACCGCGAGCACGGGTGGTCCGCGCACTAGTCTGTGCATCAGACGAGGACGTATCGGATCGTACGGCGATGACCGAGCCGCTCGTGCCGCCCGTCCCCAGTCCAGGAGCGGCGGGCGTACGGCGCCCTCGGCTGGAACACGCCCTACGAGTTCAACGAGACTGACCTGCGTATCAGCGTCACCCAGCTGCGCATGTTCCTCGACGACTATGACGAGGTCAGTGGCCGGGGGCAGGCGCGCCGGCGCACACCCCAGGGGCACAGGGGCACGCCGGCGCACACCCCAGGGGCACAGGGGCACGCCGGCGCACACCCCAGGGCCACAGGGGCACGCCGGCGCACACCCCAGGGCCACAGGGGCACGCCGGCGCACACCCCAGGGCCACAGGGGCACGCCGGCGCACACCCCAGGGGCACAGGGGCGCGCCGGCGCACACCCCAGGGGCACAGGGGCACGCCGGCGCACACCCCAGGGGCACAGGCGCGCCGGCGCACACCCCAGGGGCACAGAGGCGCGCCGGCGCACACCCCAGGGGCACAGGGGCACGCCGAGGGCAGCTGCAGATCCGGGGAAGTCTTAGGTAGTGCAGTGAAAGAAGGCGCCGTGGGACGCGGCCATATTACGATATAGTTGAAAATTAATGAAATTTACGAATCAAGTTGTTACAACCAATGTATGCCCAACTATTCCAGCAAAGTCCTTTGCATATCAAATGGTGTTTTTCGATGTCGCTGTTGGCTGGCCTTTTGTTCGGTGCGCCGTGAGTTCGCCACTTGGCCGCTGTGTCGTGACGCCGTGGGGCCGCTGTGTCGTGACGCCGTGGGGCCGCTGTATCGTGATGCCGTGGGGCCGCTGGGCCGTGACGCCGTGAGGCCGCTGGGTCGTGACGCCGTGAGGCCGCTGTGTCGTGACGCCGTGGGGCCGCTGTATCGTGACGCCGTGGGGCCGCTGGGTCGTGGTGCCGGCGGGCCGCTGGGTCGTGACGCCGTCGGGCCGCTGGGTCGTGGTGCCGGCGGGCCGCTGTGTCATGACGCCGTGGGGCCGCTGGGTCATGATGCCGGCGGGCCGCTGTGTCGTGACGCCGTGGGGCCGCTGGGTCGTGACGCCATGGGGCCGCTGGGTCG